GGAACAAGCGAATTGAGATGATACCGACATCTCGTTTTTACCATCGCACCGCCCGCCACCGGAGTAGAGTTCATCCATACTACCTGGAGCCACTTCGTTCATCCACAGTGCGTTTCCAGAGATCTTTTTTGCAACGTACCATCCGGCTATGGAATGAGCTCCCCTCCACGGTGTTTCCCGAGCGCTATGACATGTCCTTCTTCAAACGAGGCTTGTGGAGAGTATTAAACGGTAGGCAGCGGCTTGGCTCTGCCCCTGGCATTGTTGACGTCCATGAGCGACGGTAACCACTCACCATCAGGTGGGCCGTATGCCTATACGACAATTAAAGAAAAAAAAAATTTAGAGTTTTATGAATTAAATGTTTAAATGTTTTAATTGCTAATTTTAATTTTAATTTTAATTTTACTAACATAGTTCTAAGTATTATTCAACTTACAACATATGGACTTAAGAGGGTCTGAATTAAATGAATTTTATTTTTATTTATTTTTAAAGTGTTTGTGAAGTGTTTAAGTGTTTTAAGTGTTGAATACAGTTTTAAGTTGTACTTTGGTGAAATTTTATTTATCCCTAACCCCAGCGCGTAAGAATATCCACTTGTCGCTGAGCCGTTAGCTCGCATGCCCAATATGAATAAAAATATCAATAAAGTTCGGTCGGAGTAGGAAGTGGAAGAGAACGCGACGCGGAGCGACCGTCCCGCCATGTCCCGCGGAGACTTACGGATTTATCAAAGCGGACACACCACAAAATATCTTATAGATAGATAGATAGGTAGATAAAATATATGATTTATAGAACATGCTGTATATATTTCACGGTTTTGTTTGCGTTTCTAAATTCGTTCTGCTTTCAAATGTTTTCAGTATTTGAGAACTATATATTTTCTATAATTGGGCAGATAATGTCGAGACTCATTATTCTTTCATTAAGGACCAAAGGCCGTAAGGTATGGTAGAGGGCTTAACAGTATTTTACTTGGAGCCAGGTTAGTTCGATTGTCATTTATCAAAGCGGACACACCACAAAATATCTTATAGATAGATAGATAGATAGATAGATAAAATATATGATTTATAGAACATGCTGTATATATTTCACGATTTTGTTTGCGTTTCTAAATTCGTTCTGCTTTCAAATGTTTTCAGTATCTGAGAACTATAATTGGGCAGATAATGTCGAAACTCATTATTCTTTCATTAAGGATCAAAGGCCGTAAGGTATGGTAGAGGGCTTTAACAGTATTTTACTTCTGGCCAGGTTAGTTCGATTATCTTCACAGTGCGCCACTAGGTCTGCTTTGGACGACTTACTTTCCGCTTTCTTAACCCAAGAATCAGCTGGGGTTATTTCTTCTTCTTCGTCGCTTCCTCGTTGCTGAGGGTCGTGACCACCTTAGTCTAGTTTTTGCACCAGCTTCCTCCAATGTAGCCTGCATTCGGACTGCTTAATTGCGCCCGGGACGCTGGTGTTTGTGGCCTCCTTGACAATGTCCGTCCACCTGGTTGGCGATCTTCCTCGACTTCTGTTTCCTTCTACGTGACCTACAACTATTAGTTTCTCCAAGTTGTCAGGATTTCGTCGGGCCACGTGTCCGAAGTACTTGAGGAGACGCTGCATACAGATTGGGTTATTTAGCGGAACCATAAAATAGCATACCTCTAGAAGTCAGTTACAATAGAACGGTTGACCTTTTCAAACCATTTGCTGAACGCGTGACTGCTTCGCAACAGCAGTCGACGGATTGTTGGTATACCAGTTCGAACATGCAATACATATTAGATCAACTACTGGTTAGCTAGTGATCTGAAGTTTAGCAGTCACTCTTTTAGTAACTGTGATATTTCGAACAAATTTCTAATCCTTGGCATTTCTCAAAAAGTTTAGGTAACTTGAACTTCAATCAACATTTATCTATGATCGACATATGAATGTAAAACATTTATGTATGTGTACATTATTGACTGGAACTCAGTGATTATCTAATTAGAGCCACGTTGACTTCGAATCAATTGATGAATTTAATAATTCATATAGCGGAGATTATCTTGTCATTAAGTACCAATATCCACAGACCACCGATATTACGATACCCGTCTAAGCGTAGCTGAAATAGCCCCTTACGCTACCAACGATCTGGTACGACAAAAAACCTGCGATAATATAAAGTATTCGTGGTCATGGATTATATTGTTTTATAGAAGTTTAATTTTCATATTGGACCATTCAATCACCATTTAATTTTCTTACAAATTATCAACTGTCTACAAATACTCAACTGTCAACAAAGGTATTTCTGTTTGCTTAGATTGACGTGGACGTGACTGAACAAGCTTACGATCCTCCTGGTATTAAGTGGTTACGGAATGCAACGAAGCACCAACGAAAAAGTCGTCTCCCACTATTTTAAAACTACTAAACAAACTAAACTACTACTATTTACTATGTTAACTATTCAAGTTCCAATCTTTGAATAAATCTTCTTCATCTACCTTCTATGTGGGATCGGCGCAGCAAGTTATCTTTTTCCATTCAAGCCTACCACATATCATCTCTGCACTCACCCTAATCTCGCATATCCCCACACCGTGCATCCAAGTCATTTTAGGACGCCCCCTCCTCACATTACCGTCTACTTTCATACCCAGGATCTATTCGACCACATGATCATCCTCTGTACTCTCTCTAATATCTGCCTGAATATATGATATTTATTGAGACGAAAACAGCAGTTACTGTTGATAAGCAAATAAACTCATATCACAGCTAATATTAGTCGCTTCCAGAACACATAGGCCTCGCGTCGTGAACACTGTGGCATATATTCATGAGGTGGATTCGTGCTTTGGCAATAGTTGTAGTAGTAGTAGTAGTAAAGTAGTAAAGTTTATTGTAGTAGTAAATTTTATAATGATTGAGAAAAAATGATACACGTAGGTATAGACAATAAGGTTTTTTTTTTATTGCCCTTGTATGCAGACGAGCATACGGCCCACCTGATGGTGAGTAGTTACCGTCGCCCATGGACTTCAGCAATGCCAGGGGCAGAGCCAAGCCGCTCCCTACCGCTTAATACTCTCCACAAGCCTCGTTTGAAGAAGGACATGTCATAGCGCTCGGGAAACACCGTGGAGGGGAGCTCCTTCCATAACCGGATGGTACGTGGCAAAAAATATCCCTGGAAACGCACTGTGGATGAACGCAGTGGCTCCAGGTAGTATGGATGAACTCTACTCCGGTGGCGGGCGGTGCGATGGTAAAATGGTGAATGAAAATTTTATAAAATTTCATGACCAAGCGCATACTTTAAGCTTTAAGGTATTTATCAAACTTTAAGGTTTTTCAGTCAACAAAAGTTGCCTAAATCTTGCTTACGAAACTTTCGAGATAAGCTTACATACAAGTATATATACATATATGTATATACAAGTTCCGAACAATAACATTTGGACCGTCGGTCTACCGAGCAATTTTACCCGCTCTGTGAATGATCTTCCATTTGTCCTTCCATTTCCTCTTGTTTTTATTTTATTAATTTCAGCATGGAATAAAAGCCTCTTTTTTTTAAATAAATCACGTGTGTAATTCAATATGCAATTTCGAAAAGGGCACATCTCTGAAAATGTAAAATGTTCAGGAAATGAAAAAAACTGATTATTTTCTAAAGCAGGGTAAAATTTAAAATATTAGCTTTTGAGATATATTTTAGTGTTAATTAGCAATTGAAAATTACTGGAATTATTATAAAATGGGTGTAGGTAAGCCTAAAAACTACATGTATATGAAAAAAACGTATTTGACAAAATATGCGACATGTGACCTTTTCGAAATTGCATATTCAATTGTTTCTTGATCGAAAAGATTGCTGATGGATAATAGAAACCTCAAACTAGACTACTAAAGTGATTTTATTATTTATTCACTTTTCCCCGCGATTAGCCATTCGCAAATAAATTATTACCTCAATAATTCAGGCAAGTTTTAATCGGAAGCTTCACGGTGCTCGGATAAGGACGCACAAACACCCTTAGCACGGCATCCGAGGAATAACTGAACATTCCTTCTCGCTTACACGTTACAACTTCACAACGAGTACGAAGAAGACGGCAAAGTCTATTGCCAACTGGAGATCTCGCTTTAAGTAAAAGATTAAAATCCTCAAGTCGTATAAATTCGGCGGTTATCGGGATCCGTTTGTTTGCAGAATTAATTATTGTCGTGCTCACTTCGCGGTTCGTAACTTTGCGGCAAGATATTTGGAGCCTCTCGGAAAGTTAAGCTTGCAAGCTACTCAAGATTTAGCTTCCAGTTGAATTGTCTTTATAGACTTTTGTTGCTTAACTTACTATTTGTACGCATAAATGTAGCAGAGTTATACAGAAGACTGTATTTTGCTAGCGTATTAGAAACAATAAATTTCGTTTAAATAAAGCATTAGACTCTCTTATTTAGTGCAAGTCTTACATAATTGTTTTCTGAAATGCTATAGGGGTCGTCTATTAGACCAACTTTAAAAAAATCGAGTACTTTTTTATGTGTATTACCTTAGAACTTTTTTTCTGGGTGAACCGATTTTGTTGATTCTTATCTTTTTATTTGAAACTAGCTGACCCGGCAGACTTCGTAGTGCCTCAATCGATAAATAAAAGACACATCAAGGGTACACATCAAAGGAAAAACAAAAAACAGAGCTTTTTTATATTTTCTCACCTTTTAAACCTTCCCTGGACTTCCACGAATAATTCAAGACCAAAATTAGCCAAATCGGTCCAGCCGTTCTCGAGTTTTAGCGAGACTAACGAGAAAAAAGTGTTTATTTATGAATTATATATACAAGCTTTACTATATTCGGGCATATGAATGAAACGGGTGACTGCGGAAGAATGGATTTTGAAATTAATAGTATGGCAACACCGCCATTTCTTAGAAAAATAATAGAGGAATGATGTTACAAATCCTGTAGCTAAAGTAACGGAAACAATAATCTCTTTTTGCAGACGAGGAGCCTCTTGAAGGACTCGAAGGTATACATTCTGACGAGACCGGTTCCGGAGACAACTCGAATGCTGGTTCGAGCGGTGCTGACGACGACGCAGCACGACTCAGACTGAAACGGAAACTGCAGAGAAACCGCACTAGCTTCACCAACGAGCAAATCGACAGTTTGGAGAGAGGTCAGTTTATTATTCAACCCTGACCAATTATTAGTCAGTTATAAAATTTGAAACTGTTGAATGTGTAATGTGTATTTATTAATAATCGCTGGTTAAGCAGTATAATTGTTTGTATCCTTTCTAATGTCGTTTCATCGATTTTAACACAATTTTTACAAATCACAACGTTGCTACATCAAGTTCCTGTAAGCTCGCTTATTTTAAATCGATTTCACTCCCACTGTCGAATCAATCGATTATATTGTATAACGACTGTCCAAGCTTTCAAATCGAAATGAGTGTCCGCTTCGGCAGAAATAGGGAGGATTGTACTACTAAATTCTGATTGGTGATCGCAGTCCTCCTCCTTACATCGTGTTCCTCAGTGCTGAGGGACGTGACCTTTCCGGAGCCTTTTTGTTCGGACTATGCTCCTCCATTCTTTCCTGTCCTTTGCGCAGTGGATAGCAACATTGATGCTGGAGTCCAATGTCGTCTTGATTTGTCGCAGTACACTTGTATAGCACCGAATGAAGGTTTTGCCCATTCTCTGTTAAATGGTGAATCGCCTTTCACCATAACCCCGCCAAAGACGTAGTGTGCTATTCTAGACTGATACGACACACAAATCTGAGAGCAATAATAAAGTACAGGTATAACACGGTATTTCACAACACGGTTCCACTCCCTAAAACCCATACTAAAACCCTCTTATAACACGCTACTACAACAAAATACTATGTGCAACAAAATAACGAGATTTTTGTTTTAAATTATTTAGAAAATTACATTATGCACTATGAATACACAATATCATTATATGGGAATAACCATAATATTACTGCTTATTTTTTATGTATAATAGGTAAAAAATGCATACAGGAATAGTTGAGATGTTTCATTCAGAAAAAATAGTATATTTTTGTACTGTCTTCTAGTTTCATATAGCACGGTTTCGCACAAGACGGGACTTTGTAGGAACGTATCTACCGTGTTATAGGAGCTTACCATTATTGAATTTCTCTTCTCTAGGCATCGTCTTTTCGCATTAAAAGTGTACAATTTCCAAAAATATTCGAAATTGAGTTAATATGCGGAATCATTTGGTATCACCAGTATTTTTCTCATAAATACTGTCAAAAGAGCGTAGTTAATTTTTTTTTTTAAATAGTTTACCTATGTTTGACTATTAACAAAATTAATACATAATTTTATCTTACTTTAAAAGACAGATAATGTAACCATTTCAAAATTAAAAATAAATATTGCAAAGATGATTAATATTAAAAATATCACACGTTAAACCTTTAAAACACTCTCCTGTAAAATTAGAAAGTTTTCAGATTATACAGTTTTAATGCCAGAAGACATGTCCAATACATATGTATTTATTAATTTGTATATAATTTATTTTCTATTTACAGAATTCGAAAGGACGCATTACCCGGACGTGTTCGCAAGAGAAAGACTCGCAGCAAAAATCGGGCTACCTGAGGCCAGAATACAGGTGAGCAGATAAAAAGATTCCCGCTTCATATACGTAAACAAATAATATGTGAATAATAACTAAAAAGGTTATACTAGTAGTTGCGCTTTTATTAAAATAGCTACGGAGGTTTATTCCCAAAATCGAAACCGCAACTATATTCACTTGTTGAAATTGAACAAAGCATACAAAAATTGTACATTTTTGTAAAAACTAAATATTGATTTGATATTATGCATTTGTATTGTTGTTGTTTTCCTTGGGTCACCCATTCAACAGAGGATTTTCATTTGTTTCTGCTTATTACTGCTGAATGTAGATGACTTTGCCACGTGATCTGTAATGATCAACGTCGTTCATGGGATATAATCCCACTGAGCTTCTCGCTAGATCTTCTCAGTGGGTCACGTTTCCGATACGGTGGTAGATTCTGCGAAGCACTGCTCTTGCTAGGGCCAGTTAGCAACACCTCTGGTTTGAACCCCGAGAGCTCACCTACACGCTAGGGTAACGCTGGTATAGCTTCTCAGGGCTATCAGCATAGGTAGGAGAAAAATGGAATATATTGTTGAATATTCTTGGCGAATCCAGATGAGGCGCCAAGCCAATGTATGTATAAAAATTTAAAAAAGTCAAGACTCGGATAACTTTTTTCTAAAGATACCCACCTGATATTAAGTGATTACAATATTTCATAGATACAGGTACCTTGAGGGACTGTACCTACCCCTATACCTAGTGCGAGCTGATTATGGTATATTTATCGATATCTTTATAAGTGTTATTTGTGAATATTTACCTATTCCTACCTATTCGGTGGTAGTTTCAGGGGCTATTCCTATGTAAAGTATAGGCCATATACATTAGATATGATCATTCCCGATCCTGCTGACCGAATGTCGACGTCGCCCAAAACACGTCATTTCGGATCCTCCCGATCCACTAACAGTGCTTTTAGGTACCTCAAGCACCGGTCATCGTTCTCGTCTAACCCGTCGCTTGCAACGAAGGGCTCGGCGACTAAATTAACCCACAGATACAGCCCACTGACTTTCTCGCCGGATCTTCTCAGTGGATCACGTTTCCGATCCGGTGGTAGATTTTGCGAAGTACTGCTCTTGCTAGGGTCAATGTTAGCAACCTATCATCATAGATAGGGGAAAAAAAGATATGATTCTACACAAATTATCCACGGAAATAAATAGAGTTAAATTAATTTGTTTATTTCAAAATACAAAGGAAGGTCTGCCCTTAAGTTCAGACTTAATATCATGCGTCTGTTACAAGTGGCAATGAAAACTATTAATGCGCTTTAAAGTAAGATGGGTGAGCATAACCCTTTTTTTTATTGCTTACATGGGTCGACGATCTCGCAGCCCACCTGGTGTTAAGTGGTCACTGGAGCCCATAGACATCTACAACGCAAATGCGCCACCCAACTTGTTATATAAGTTCTAAGATCTCAGTATAGTTACAACGGCTACCCCATCCTTCAAACCGAAACGCATTACTGCTTCACGGCAGAAATAGGTAAGGCGGTGGTACCTACCCGCACGGACTCACAAGAGGTCCTACCACCAGTAAATCTGGATATATCAAACTGGATAAGGCTTAAAGCGCGTTGCATGCTGTTAGTGGAAGGCGCGTAGCTGCCGCGCTTTGTGTTAACCTAACCCGACCTTAAGGTGTGGTTCTCGAATCGTCGCGCGAAGTGGAGGCGCGAGGAGAAGATCCGGTCGCAGCGCCGCAGCCCCGAGTGCGGGTACCAGCCGCCCCCTGCGCACCCCTCGCCCCCCGCGCACGTGCAGCCCGCGCACCCCGCGCACCCCGCACACCCGCACCAGCCGTACCAGCCCGCGCTCAACGTGGACGCGTACAGGTCACTACAATCATTACTTATTACAGTGTAGAGAATGCCACTAACCCTCGTTCGAAGAACTAACGAACGGTCTATGAGATAGATCCTGCGGCTTACACACGACCCTAAAATCAGTGGCGATATCGGGACGACAATGGTCCCTAAATCGTGAGCTCGCTTGAAGCGATTTTAGAGTTTAGGGTAAACAATAAAAATCGGGTTACGATTTGCCTATAGGTACATGACGTGATTTAGATTACGATTTAGGATCCTCCCCACCACTGTCCCGATATCGCAACTGATTTGAAGGGTCGTGTGTATGCTGCATTAGATACCACAATGTGTATACATACCTACTGTCAATCGTCACCTTGAAACATGAGTTCGAAGCTTCAATCACATTTGACGATGGACTGTTCGCGACAGAAATAGATAATAGGATGCACCTATACGGTTATTACTGGTGGTAGGACGACTTGTGAGTCCGCACGAGTAGGTGCCACCTCCCTGGGAAGCCGGGAAGCAGTAATACGTTTCAGTTTGAAGAGTGGAGCAGCCGTTGTACTTTACTGTAAAAAGTGAGACCTTAGAACTCATATCTCAAAGTTGGTGGCGGCATTGACGTTGTAGATGTATACTTCTGCTGGCTGCTGTAGGCTTCAGTAACCATCTAACATCAGGTGGGCCGTAGGCTCGTCCATCCAGAAGCAAAAAAAAAGCAAAGCACCATTGCAATGGAAGCCTATGCTAACCCTACGCTCTTCAGTTGTAATGCGGTAGCCAAACTAACTAAGCCGCACACTGTAGATGCCGGTGGTCGCCACACGCCACAAATCGCCACTGCTCGCTTCTAGTGGTCGGCTCGGCCACACGTTACGTAGGTAACTATTATACTAATCTGTGACCACAAAACGCCAACACAAGCAACTCGCGCGACTCCCCACCCCTCTCTCCCTTAATTCTTTCGCCGGGGTCCATTATGATTCTGCAAGCACGCGTTAAAAAAAGTAGCGGCCACCGACCGCAAGTGTCCAGCATGGACCACAAGTGGCTGTCGCGCATGTCAGCTTCTTCTGTAGCCACTTCTAGCTTCAAGTGGCGGCGATTGTGGATGTGGCTAGTGGCCCGTGTGCGGCGACCCTTACTGTTCAAACATTTAAGGCTTCGTCAAACAGAACGCGTACTAAGCGCGCGTCAGAGCGCAAAACTGACGGCGCGCTATGACGCCGAAATGTGTTGTACTACTATGGTAATATACTGTCAAACAGAGCGCTAGCAGTACGCAACGCTTTTGACGTCAGGCGTTGTAATTTTTTACAAATTTTATTTTAGCGTCCGAGTGAATGTGTATTAAAATACTGGGTAATGCCCGAAAAATTGATAGAATTAGTTATAAAATACCCATGCTTATACACTGCCACATCTGGATCACTCGACATATTAATACTTTTAAATTTTCAGACTGCTATCGAAAGGCACTATGATTTGGCGGATGTTACGTTGCGTCAAGGAGCGTTGGGCTCATCTAGTCAATTTGTGTGACATGAAAAAAGCGCGACGTTAAAACGCAGCGCTAAGTACGCGTTCTGTTTGACGAAGCCTTTAATATTACGTTTTACGTAGGCTGTAGATACATACGGGGTGTAAATTTCCCTAAATAAAAAACAATAATTTTGAATATCCACAGCCCGCTGACTCCCATGGGCTACGGAGGAGGTATGGTCTCAGAGTCGGCGGTGTGCGAAGGCGCCGACTCCGATCTCTGCAAGGGAGGATTCCTGGGGTACCCGCGCTACGAGCTCGGGTACCGGCAGCCGGCACACCCGTACGTCAACCACGGATACCAGCACGAGCCTGCTTCTCCTCCACCAGGTATTTTCAAAGCGCACACGTGTTACACAAATCTTGGTTAAGATGTTATCTCCGCAGAATTCAAAAATAAAACAAGCAGTTTTAGAACTTTGCCACTAATATCACTATCACTAATAATGATTGAAACTTTTCAATATGTACTAGTATATTGAAATGAAAACTTTTAAATTCGGAAATTCTAAAATATATTATGATGATTTGGATGATTTCAAAGATGGATGACGTATAAAAAGCCTTAAAAAATGCATCTAAATAGCAAACCGTAGCAACGATTATTTTTTTATTTATCCTATTGATACTTTTCACGATATCAGTGCGAAATTATAAAACTATTATTGACGTGACAACGTCTTATAATTCGATGGGGCCGGCTGCACGCACGAAAAAACATGACTCATTGAGGCGTTCCATTTAAGGCTTGAAGTGCAAGCGAGAGCGCGCAACGAGCGACAAAGAGGCACAATCGGCCTCCGCGTTCGACATCTGTCTCTCTCCTACTTGAGTGAGCGATGCATCCGCGTGGATAGCTGCTATACAATAATACATTTACATGTTTTCGTCAAGTATGAAGTTCAGTGAAAAGTGAATGCGGTGTCAATTGTTTATAGCAACGATAATTGCGATAATCGAAAAATTAAACCATTCCATCAGTATTTTCTTTTGACGTTGTCACGTTCAACTATCGTCAGTAAATCGACTTTACAGACAACCGATTTTTTTCATTGCTTAGTTGGGTGGACGAGCTCACAGCCCACCTGTTGTTAAGTGGTTACTGGAGCCCATAGACATTTACAACGTAAATGCGCCATCCACCTTGAGATATAAGTTGTAAGGTCTCAGTATAGTTACAACGGCTGCCCCACCCTTCAAGCCAAAACGCATTACTGCTAGAAATAGGCGCGGTGGTGGTACCTACCCGTGCAGACTCACATAACGTCCAGTAAAAAATATGTCAATTATATAATTTCAATTCGACTTCTCAGAGCTGGGCGGTCTACTTGGTGCTGGAGTATCAGTTCCGCTCACCGTTCCCGGGCAGGACACGCAGCAGTACTGGTCGCGGCTACAGTGACCCTGGTGGAACTAGCCTCATTTTCTGCAGAATCTCAATAAAAAAAATTAACATTCCATCAAACTCGACGTAAAAATCATTTTTACTGCGTATACTTAATGTGACCATACGTCCCGATTTGGCCGGGACAGTCCCGCTTTCGGGCATTCTGTCCCGCTGTCCCCAGTGAGGCCGACATAGTTCCGCTTTTGCAAACAGAACAAAACGATAAATTTATTTTTCGATTCAACATAGAGCTATAAGTGTTTAAATGGGCTAATTTAACAAAAGAGGTACAGACTATTACACAGAGTAGTAACTATTTTGTGTTTAGTGCTTTGATTCTTTTATGTTATTCTATCTTCTACCAGAAAATACTTGTAAAATACTAAATACTTTTTATCATTATATAATTCCGCAGATGTCCCGCTTTGACAAAAAATAATAATGGTCACGTTACGTATACCAGAAAAACTATAAATTAAGTACAAACTTTCTCTCAAAACTTTTCATCGGTGGAGGCTAGCTCGAAAGCTTCATGAACTCAAGTCTATTCTGTGATCTCTCACACAAAGACTCCTTTAAGTATAATAAGTTTTAATGTATCTCTTATAATTGAAATTTAATTTTGTATGTATATATGTTATAAAAAAAATACACTTTCTTCGTATTAAAATACAGTATATTTTTCAACATCACTTAGTGAGACAACTAAATAAAACAGATTATAGTAATCTCTTCAGTTTTCGCGAGCTTTATGTATGATTAAAACTAATTTTACGGTTCAAGCTCGCTTTTTTATTTTCATTTTATTGATTCTGACGTTTAGAATACTTTACAGTTTTCGTGGTCACTAACTAAACTAATAAAGACCAATTAACCGTAAAAATAGGTTTAATTAAAAAAGTTATTACCATACCTTCAGATTGTATGTTGATGAGAAAATTAAAACAACCTAATCCCAACATCAGGAACTTACAGCACACCATTACAATACATTCAGATTGTATGTTGATGAGGAAGCTAAAACTACCTAATCCATCAGGAACTTACTGCACAATATCAGTCTCAAAGCCAAACATACCAATGTGTAGAACACATAAAGTTCTTAAAAGCTCAAATAACACTTTTTAGATTAATCACCCAATTCTTTTTTTTTAATGAATAGAACTTAAATGTAGTAAGAAGATTAAAGGAATCAACATATCTATTAGTTGACAAACAAAAGAGCACAAAATTAGGCTCAAAACATATTATTAAATAGGATATTTTAATTGCATACATTTTTTTTTCTTTCAATACGATACACATATAATGTTGTGTCAGTGTACATTCGAATGAAAATATTTGTAATATTTATAGTTACGATTTAACATTATTTTGCTATGTTATAATATTAGTTGAATTTAGAACTAAGGCACTGGTACCTTTGTTGTTTCAAGTTAATCAGTACAAGTTATTGAGATAAGTTTATGATGTATGCTGATTGGATTATCTCAATCATATTTTTTTCTTCTTAGCGGACACTTTTCAGATTGGTGGTGGTTAAGCGGACGATGTACATGCAGAAGCATTTGTTAGGTCGACCATATTCCCCAGAATTGCCTTCCTAGCGATGCTCTTCCAGATCTGGTGGTTCGAAGAATTTCGAGTTTGGACCATAGTGGACTCAGTTGCTTTCTTTGTTAGGGCAGTCCGGCGGGTTAGTAATCGGCCGCGTGATCTCTCTCCTTCCACCAGGCCCTAAACTACCAGTCACTCCATCGAGTCCTCTTTTCTGGAGATGAGACCAAATTTTGGTCCCAATCATAATTTACGTTACACCAATACAATCTCGATTATTCACGGGTCAATCAAACGTATTCGTATTTTCGTTTTTACTCAAAAAAAAAAGTGTAATCTTGTAACGCCTAAAATTGTAATTTCGCGAAATTGTGCAAATGCTTTTTGAAAATTTAAAGTATTGTATGAAAAGACAGGGCTTACTAGTACTAAGATGTATATAAAACTTTATGTATTCATATGTTGACGTGTATGTTTGTCGTTCTAATGTAACTAACTGGTAATTGTATAGTGTTTACGTTATAAAAACATCTTAGGGTTTTTACTTCAAATTAAATAGATTTAAAAACAAAAGGCTTAATTAAGATTTAACATAATTCCATTGGTGACATACGTTAATTAAGATTATTTCTTAAGTCAATGAGATATTCATTTCGAATTTAATATTAGTTATAATGTGTAATCATGTAAATGTTAAAACAAAATGTGAATAATTTGTGAGTTTTAAAATAATAAAAATACATTTTTGATTGGAATATTTTTACCGATGTCAGCATTATTACCCCCCGCCGGATCTTCTCAGTGGACCGTGATACCGATCCGGTGATAGGTTCAACGAAGCACTGATCTTTCTAGGACTAGTGTTAGCAAATTTTCTCAGGTTGAGCCCGTGAGCTCACCTACACCCGTCTGGGCGTAGCTTGAATAGCCTTTTAGTCTACCAGCGAATAGGTAGGGGGAAAAAAATACCCTTACTGATTGTAGCGGCCTCTTTCAACGAATACCAAAAGAAATATGTCAAAAATATATCACACATGACGCATACATAAATATCTATATACAGTCAAACCTGGGTAAGTGAGAACTGGATAAGTGAGAAAACTCTATAAGTGAGAGTAATAGCCAGGACCCGTCACTTTAAGCTCCCAAAACCTCTATTAGCGAGAAACAGAAACCTCTGTAAGAGAGAGTCGTTTTTCCCTCATGGACCTCCGTAAGTGAGACTGCTACTTATCTATACCTCTATAAGCGACAGTCGAGCTTTATTTATTTATATTATTTAGGAGGAACAAATGACAAAACAAATTACAAATTTAACATCTGCTATTTTATGACTCATTCTTAACTTTCGTGGAACTTCCTACCATTGTTTTTGTATTGTTTTCTCGTCAATATTGAACCTATTTTATTTCGTGGAACTAAATAACGTTATTTTATCGCATTCTTTTCGATGTTCTGTCCTGTTTGTCGGACTTACTCAGTTTATCGTTAATCAATTACGAAGGAAAATTCTGTTCTGCATCATGTTAAAACGGAAAATTAAAGTACTGTCATTAAGTGATAAACTTAAAATAGTGAATGCGTTTGAATCCGGAAAATCGCGAAACGAAATTCAGAGGGAGCATTAGCGAGAAACTCGGGTTAGTGAGAAACCTCTATAAGCGAGAATGAGATTGTGCTCCCTTGAACTCTCGCTTATCCAGGTTTGACTGTATATAAAAATGAATTGCTGTTCGTTAGTCTCGCTAAAACTCGAGAACGGCTCGACCGATTTGGCTGATTTTGGTCTTGAATTATTCGTGGAAATCCAGAGAAGGTTTAAAAGGTAGATAAATATGAAAATGCTCGGAATTAAATAAATATAACAATTTTGTTTTTCCTTTGATGTGTTCCCCGTCGGACGGATTCCTTTTGTTTGTTTTAAGTTTATTTTATACAAAATTTTTGGTTTTTTATTTATCAATTGAAGCACTACGAAGTCTACCGGGTCAGCTAGTACATATATAGATTTATGATCATTCACTGCTACATAAGAAAAGCAATTTTGTCTACTAAAGTAAAAGGAAGATGATGATGTCCGTCATTTCTTGGTAGACTGACGGTCCGAATGTATTTATATAATTTAATTAAATGCACGACCTACACTCCACGTTTTCGACTTCCTCCCGTTAAACAAAAGGCGTGCGATCCCAGAGCAACGTCGTGGTCTTGTTAGTACCAAACATTTACTTACACTGACCAGTGTGCTTAGTGCCAGTTTTTTAACGTTCTCGATAGCGTAAAAGTTAACACAAATTTCTATGGAGTTGGTACGGTTGCCTGCGTTTGTCGCTAGGGGCGCTGTTCCAACTGCATACAAATTTAAGTTAACTTTTACGCTATCGAGAACGTTAAAAAACTCGCACTGAGCACACTGAATTCATTCCCAGACTTCGTGATACAGTCGCCAACTGTTCGACCAACGACCAAACATTTTAAATATTTTATGGCTTCGGATCGAGACCTTTAAGCCAAGTCTAATATTTTCTTCTTATATTCTCTTAAAATATGATAAATAAATGATATGAAGCGAAATGAGATGAAGTTGATTATACTTCATTGGGATGAAATGGTGTAATCATCTCAGTAAAATGGTGATTGATTATTTACTGATTTTTGTGGTAATTTTGGAAGAAACCGGGAAGCTTCTACCAGCGGCTTTGGTTTATTTTCTCACATTTGTACGCTTTCATAGATGCTTAATGGTTAACAACCTACCCTTATGGCATATTTAAACCTGAAGAAACACTAAAACAAAATGAAATAATTCACACGACCGTTTCTTGTGTTCTCGGCAAAAATTTGAGACTATCAAACCACTATACCTACTGTGGTATAACTTAATAATCAAATCATAAGACTACATCAGTCGAGCAATTTTATTAAAATTTTCATCGCCCTCCAAATAAAACCATATTGTTTTATGGAAAGATTTTATTAAATTTCAATTAAAGCTTTCGTATTCTTTAATAATAATGCTTAAATTACCTAACCTATTCAACTATCTAGTACTAAGTACAGTAAAGTCCAAAAGTGTTATCTAAATACTATCGCGTATTTAATTCTAAAAGTTTGAATTTTAAATAAGACACTTATAGATCATTTTATTGTCATGGCTCAACACTAAAGTATATAGGGAGACAAAATTATGAGAGAAACTGTTTGAAAAAACCATACGTCTTAGTGTTAGTTTAAAAGAGAACTAAAAAATCACTTCCCGAACATTATCTGAACAATAAACAAATTGGAATTTAATTGTCTCAGTCATACATATTATTTACGTTTTACGAATTACAGTTGAGGTTCAGAATAAGTATCAAAAAAACTAGTTTTGATCCGCACACATACAAGATCTTTACGACTTAGTACCAAAAAAAAAACTAACCAATCGACTACTAATAAATCAAGTGTAGAATTATTTAAAATAATTATTACTTTTATAACAATAATTGCAATTCGAACATACAAATTAATAATAGATTACTTGCACATAGCGGATCTATGGAGCAACAATCATAATCTTTATATCGGACGTAAAATGGGATCAAAAATTAATAATTATTGTCCTTACAGAAATATCTGTACGTAATCGTAAAATTTATTCTACATACATCTACTTTACCTAATGTAATAACTAATACTAATTTACAAAAAAAAACCATCACAAATTACTTTAGAAAATATGTCCACTCTATTATCATCCAGTTCCTAAATCCAATTAGTCCTTAAAATAAAACCATAGCTTCCATGAGTTTTCCTATTTTTATTGCTTACATTTCTGGATGAGCTCACGGTCCACCTGGTGTTAAGTGGTCACTTATAAACACCAACAAACGTAAATGCCGCATACCCAACTCGAGACACCAGTTCTGTGTCTCAGTTTTACAGTACAACGGCTTCCCCACCCTTCGAACCGAAACGCATTACTGCTTCACGGCAGAAACAGGCAGGGCGGTGGCACCTACCCGTGCGGACTCACAACACGCCCTACCAACCAGTAAAACCTGATTGCTTGTAGCTTACAGTTTAAGCCTTTCCTTGACATCTGTATGATATTTAAGAAGGCAACCGGACAATAATAACTAAAGATAAAAACTAATCATTTGGATTGTTAATAAAATTAAAAAGGTAACTGAAACGAGTATTTCGGTTTAAGCTTGCATTAATAATTTCATTGTATTCGAATACTAAACATACATTTTTTCAAATCGTTGTGCTATTATTTTTTCATGGGATAAATTCTATAATTGGAATATTACTATACACTGGACGTCACAAAATTAACAAAACGCACCTTTACAATTATAAAAACATAATTCGAAATTTCTGGATTTAGACTTTAATTCAAAAATTGATCTAGAACGACCTATTTCAGCGACTGTTAATAATCAAATGACCAAAAGTAGCATATAAAGGGACAAACTTATCTATCGGTCTCTTTCACTCCGTCCCCCTCTACGTCTTTACGGTTTGAAAACTTTATTCGATATTTTCCAAAAAACACATGTTTTGGGTTGGGTCTCTATAATTCTAAAGGTGCGAAAAGATCATGAACGATCAAGCAAACAATTATTATGATAATATGATTGCTAATTTAACCACCGCAATCAGCATGTACGCAGTTTTTTTTATCTGGAATTAGCTGAAAAAACTCGGTCATTATGGTATGAAGCTACCCATTATAAGGAGCACAATGTAATTGTCGTCATCCATCTAGAGATATGAGGTAACATTATTCATTGCATTGTATGACGGCTTTTCCACCAATCAAGCCACACTACTTCGGCGCAGGATAGCGGTATCTATCCGTAAGCGTTTAAAAAACCCCACCACCAGTAAAAGCTGGTGGGCCAGTATAAACGCAGAGAACGTTGTTATCGATTCTCCGGGGAATCCCTGACATCATTCATCATTATCCTGCCATTCTCCCAGTCACCTGGGGTCGGCGCAACATGTTTTCTCCTTCCATACTCCTCTATCATATACCATTTCTTCGCTCACTCCCCTCTTTCACATATCGGCTTTCACGCAATCCATCCATTTCTATATCCATTTCCCTGACATCATTCTATGGTTATATTAAGTTATACACAAATAAATCTGCGTGACAGCCACAATTTAAAATCAAATTTCGGTAACTTAATACCATAGCCAGATATTAATATTAAGTAATATTCCAAAATATTTAAACACGCGATCTAACTTACTTTAGATCAAATGGTCCATCACTGAGCAAATATTTCCAATTAACTCACCATATGTTCCTTACAGCTACTATTATAATGACTATACAAAAGATATTGCTCTCAAAATGTTTACGTACTAAAATATTTTTCTACGTTTTTTCAATTATTGCTATTTTAATTCGAGTATTCTATAAAAACTTTATTATAATAAAGAGCACATAGAAATCTTTCATTTTAATTTTCAAAATATCATTTGTACTATCATCTTACCAGTCGATGTGAGTTCTATAACACTTTTCGAGTGTTCTATTCAATATACACAGTTGACCAAACTATTTATAGTCACGTCAAATTATATTAATTCATAGTGTCGATTCAAGTCTATAATTATTAAAATCTTTCAGTCCGTCATCGTTGACTAGTGCGTCTATTTCATTAATAATGTCTTCCTCCGATTTTTCTGTTTTGTTGTTCTTATGACAACTGGCCACTACGTCCGGTACATTTTTATCTAGCTCTATAGACGATCCCGTTTCTTCTTGATCCTCGCTCAGATCGACAATGTCTATAGGATCGCCCATTTTAGTCGAATCTACATCTATAACCTCCGTATCAGAAGATAGATCAATATGTTTTTCTACAACCAAATCGACAATTTCCACTTCGTGATCGGAAATGTCTGCGCTGATATCCGCTTCGTCTTTAGAAACATCCTTGTTTTGGCCGCTACTGCACAGCCTGTTTCGTATGAGCCTAGGTTTGGCGGTGCTCTCGGTGATTTTAACTCTTTTAAACTCGTAACAATTGTCGATCAGTTCATCGTCTATAGATTCGTAGACATCGGCAGTCTGCTCCGACAATGTCCGTTTCCTAGGATTCAAAGCCGTCACTTGTTTATTATCAACTTTGGCTTGTACCGGCAAAGGAGACGCGTTCTGTTCCATTTTCTTATAAACGATGGAATTACTACGAACCACTTTAATAATTTTATTACCGGATGTCGTGAGGGCCTCGTGGGTTGACAGCTTCCTTTTTCTGGTCAAGTTTAATGTTATGGGTGCGGCGTGGACTGCCGTCTCTTTTTTCTTAGCTCTTATTTCATCCAACGATAAAACCTTGAAGTCTAACGAGCCCCTCCGTTCGAGGTTCGGGGTCTTACCTGAGATCTCGTCCAGCGATATCTTGTCGTACTTGGACGAGAGGTTCGTCCTGACGATCTTGCGCTCTTTAGGAGCATCGACGGGCGGCAGGGGGTCGTAGCTGTAAAACGCGGCGGCTTCCGCTTGTATTTTCTCCAGAAGCTGAAGCTCCTGAGACTTTGAACGGGCGATATTCTGCGCGTCGTCGGACATGTTCTTAGTGGGTGTGGACGAGGGAACGCTTTCATTATCGGACTCTGCAAGAACACACGAAACGAACCGCTTTATTGGGACGATCGAACAAAAGGTAACTGATTTTCGTAATTAATTTTGACGGGACCCGTCTGCGTTACAGGTTAGCGCGTCGGTGTGTTCTTGTCTGTGAATGAAAGCAGCTCGCTCGACCGGGGCTGAGAGGGTTGGGGGGACGGGGCGAGGGGGGGTGGTCAAAAATAATTACAAAAATCATGTTACGAAACATGTTTATTAACTCGTTGGTATATTCAACACAATTCAAGAAACGAAGCCAATGTAATAATCTGTGTTCCTATATAATTATACATGTGAATAAGCTTAAATGGAAGGTCTTATACATTCTTCGCGTAAAACATATGAAATTCTTACGATATTACATCTAAGATTAACATAACGTAACCCAGTTTTAATAGAAGCAGCCTCAGCGCGCTGAGACCGCTNTTAACTCGTTGGTATATTCAACACAATTCAAGAAACGAAGCCAATGTAATAATCTGTGTTCCTATATAATTATACATGTGAATAAGCTTAAATGGAAGGTCTTATACATTCTTCGCGTAAAACATATGAAATTCTTACGATATTACATCTAAGATTAACATAACGTAACCCAGTTTTAATAGAAGCAGCCTCAGCGCGCCGAGACCGCTACATAAATAAATTCACCAACCTTCTACCCTTCCATAACATTCGATCCTATAATAACATGAAAAAACCTATATTTATGTATCAAAAAGTGCTTCCTTTTAAATATTAATTCTACTAAAAAATTTTGCACACGAATACATATTTATCCATTATATATTTAAATAAAAAAAAACCTATACCGATATAATATATACCCAACCGATCAATAAGCTCGGACAACGTGCCCGCCGCGGATCAAACAAAAACATCTAATACTAAACAAAATCATATTATTTCAGTCGTGCGTTGAGGCGTTTTAATCGGTTAGTTACAGCGTCAGAGCAATCTGTCAGGAGAAACGCGTTATCGATATAAAATCGTTGAGCCGCCACCGATATCGATCGATGCGTAATAGACGAACAACATTACCGTTCTAGTTTCGTTATACGTCGTATTTAAAAGACCGCTATTGTAGTTGCGGTCGTATCGAATTCCAGTCGATAAAATTATTGATTCGAACATCATTATGTACAGAATCGATTAATTGCATCTGCTCGGGAAAACTGCAATGTTAGTGTCACAGTAACACTTTTTGATATCATTGTACACGTAACACTTTTAGATATCATTGTACACGTATGTAACAATTTTAGATATCATGGTACACGTATAACACTTTTCGATATCATTGTACGCACAACACTTTTCGATTCCGAAGGAAACTTATTGATAATGTCTTTATATTTTTATCGACTTCAAATTCCGCCTTAAACTATAATAGTAAAACGCGTGCGCAACCCGTATTCCTACAGAAGTTTAACAGAAAAAGAATAAAAACAATTAACATTCCAACAATTAATCTAAAAATAACATAAATAAGTTGGTATGTATTAGAAAGAAAAAAAAAAAAAAAGAAACTACACTCTAAACAAAACGATTAATTTAATTATTATTGCTATTAATAAAAATTATTATTTAAGAGCGAAACCAGTTTTTGTCGTATTTTAATGACAAGGCAAACAAACCTGCGTTTTTGTACTAGGCGCTTCGAGAGACAGGTCAAAGTTTTCAATTCAATTTGAATTATCTTTAATATTTAATTGATTTTGCCTTATAATCTTTTATTGTTGTAAACTATAATACTTTTTTTTTTAAATATCCAAGCCAAATCAGAATAGCAGGTTTCAGGTTAAAAGACTTAGTAAAAGTTAATTAGTTTTTAGGCGAATAGATTTTAGATCATCTTCTCTCTATCGACAATTTTATTCAAAGCCTTCAAAGTGAAAACAGTATTTTGTGAAATGCCATTAAAAACTGAACTAAGGGAAAATATAAAACATTTATTTCATTCTGTATTTTAAGCTACCCATTCCAAATTAGAACTATTTTTTTTTTCATTTAAAAATATTTCCGTACATAAATAATGACTAGGCATACCATGGACCATAGACATTTTTTTTTTTTCGTGTCGTGTCTTAATTCATGCGGATTTTTTTTTTGCAATAAATATAGGAACTTCATTCTCAGTGCAAATATTACAAAACAATTTTTTTTTTATCGCAACGAATCTACAAAAAAAACTTTTTGTTTAATTCCAATGTTACAAACAAACGTACGGGCATCGGAAGCATTATTATTATTATTATTATGAAAAATTACCGCGAACGGCTACTTTTTTTTTTTTGTTAATTTTTTTTTCATTCCTAAAATTGATAATACGATCTTAAGCAATTTTTTTTTTCCGGGAAAACACAGTATTACAAGTTATCAACGCGTTTTGTTCACGACGATCATGTCACAAAACCGTGCCTTCATTTTTATATACCTATTTTTTTTTTATTATTAATATTATATTTATTAGCTCTATCTATTCTCAAGGTGCGATTATAAAGTATACCGGGATCTAAAACAGTGGGTATCAAATAAACTGTCAGACCCTAAACACCCTACACACTAACGTACAAACAATTTTAAAGGCATAAAGCTTTTTTTTTTTCATTTTCACCTATATAATATTAAATGAGTTACATTAATTGTGTATATATATTTTTATTTGTTTTTTTTTTAGTTATTTATTTATTATATTATTAAACTATACAAAAATGTACTTTTCTAACGTAGACAAAGATTATATCAACATCTAGTAAAAGAAAAACGCTGTTTCTCAACCTTTCAGAAATACTATTAATGACTTTATATCGAAATATCTCTGTAGAGGGAGCTAGCTGGAGTCATTAGTGAAGATATCTTCAAACACAATTAGACTGCAACACGTTCAATTTACACATACATAATAACAGAGAATTTTATGTGTAATATAACGCCTACATGCTAATTTTAAATGGAAAAGCATTGTTTTTCATAATTTCTAGCTAGGATATGAAAAGATCTTGTGGCTCCCTAACTACATGCAGGTATAAAAATGAGAAAGACACTTTACAAACGACTTCTTCACGGTGAGAGAGCTCGATTGATATTTCTTCGAATATATATATATTTTTATCTTTTTAAAGTATACAAAAACTAAAACTGCCCCTTCTGACGGCCGAAAAAACAAAAAGAACAACTAAAAAGAAACCGTATCGTTATTACAACCTAAGCATTATTTTAAATCCATTAAATATTAAATCTCATTTAAAAAAAAAAAAACCGCTATCATTATAAGGTACTTTTTAGCGTAAACGAACGAAAACCTCTAGAGTAGTGAAATCGAATCAGCTTCGAAATCGTAAATTCATCTAATCAATAAAAAAAAAAGAAATGGCATTTAAAACCGTATAGAATAATATAACCAACACCAAAAATAGAAATTATCAGTTCTCGTATATAAATCAGAACGTTTCAAGGGCTTCAAAGCCTTGACTGCTTTTAGATATTGCTTATCGTTTGCACAAATCGCCTTCGAGTCTCACGAAGGACTTTCATAACCATAGGACTCCTCAAATCACTTACGATGTGAATTAACATCGCAGATTCATTAAAATGTTGGATTCGCTTTTTACACGACACTAATTAAAACTTATTTCGTAGAAATTCACAACGCATCCCGGGTGTGAGAGGAAAACTAAAGCCATTTTTCTCATACTATCGCTCACAATCAGCTCGGACTGAGTCGTAATACAATTATATATCGATTGAAAAATTGCTTTACGTTTCACTCCGGTCAAATTCGTTGATGCAAACAAAAAACTTCACCAAAATGATAACCTCATCATCGTTGGCTTCAAAAGTATGAGATATGTTGGTAATGGCGATAATGTGTCGGGAAAACTTCCTCACCAGCGCGCTATCTAATCACAAGCACACTTCCAAAATTTTAACTAAAACTTAAAATTCTCCTCCGTTTTGCATTACATTTTTTTTTTTCTTTTCCATACCTCCCCTAAATCCAACGCGTCGGTTATTAAAAAAAAACCTCGAAAGTAGAATATTAAATGCAACAAACAACAAACAGCAATTTCACGGAGCCCACGAATAATTCATATCATAGTATTTCATTACATCTCCCGCAATAAGCGAACCAACGAAAAACAAAACCATTCATTATTATCCAACCCTGTTCTGAACTAGGCATGTTTCTATACGCTGTTCGCATTTAATATTCCATTTACATTTCCTCGCCCTAAAATATATTTCATCCCATAAACGAAGCTAGCTCAAACTCTTCGGATACAACGTGTCGTTAAGAGCGAGCGAATAATTTAATTTTATCAAAGAACCTTTTCCTAATTCTATTTTTATTATTTGGCCGTTACATTCAATAATCCCTCGGTTCCGAGTGTTGAAAATACTAATACGAAGAGAAACTCGCCGCAGATCCACTGCGACCTCACAAACACATAAAAGGAACATCACCCAATATAACATTATTGTTAAAATCAAAACTTTATCTTAAACAACGCTCCTTTTGGATTCGCATAGAACTAAACTACGTTAAAACACTTTGGGCTATTGCTGATGAAATGAACAAAAACACTAAACCTCCACTGGTTATCAATTAAAGGCGTGGAGTTCTTTTTTTTTTTTTATTTGTAGTATTGTATTTTCAACATTCAGATTACATTGAAACACAGCCTAAGCCCGAACCTGCCTATTGGGAAGTTTTTTTTTTTTTTTACATAAAACATTTCAAAAGAAAAGCACAGAAATGTTCCGAAGATTTTGTCCAACAATCTGCTTGATAAACAATTTATCCCATCAATAATCAATTAATACAAAATATAAAAAAAAAACATCCTACAAAATCTTCGAGAAACTTTACAGGTCTCCTAATGAAAAATTATTTAACATTAATCAATATTATCTCAAGGTCACCCAATATATGCATTTATGTAACACACAATCTTAATTATCAACATTAATTATCGATTCGAAAGTCATTCATCAAATCTTCACTTGGAGTTTGGACCTACAATCATATCTTGCTGTAGTAGTGACAAGCCTCGGTCACACTAGTACATACACATAAATAGTACAGAAGGCTGATAGAAAATTTTTCAGTCTCATCATACATAATCAAATTTTAAACTTTATATGACTTTACGAATAAAAACTGTGCCTTTCAAACTTGCTGTACTAATTAAGGACCCTTACTAAACTACTACAGTTAACCACAACTACTAAAATGAAGGACCGTTAATGTGTTACTCGGATGATACATTTAAATTTTCATGTTAATAAATGCGTTTCAATCTAATATACTTGTAGCTACGGTTTATACTATAAATTATCGGAATGGAATTTGTAGATGTCAAGCACAGATAACAAGGATCAGCTGGAACCAGCCTTCGGTATCTATCTATTGTGTGATATGACCGAGGACATTGTAAATGCGTAATCGAAGAGACCTTGAGAGGATATTAATTCTTATCCCAATACAATAAGTGTCGGCAGGGGGCTTAGTACATGTAATTTCAGTAGAGACGCATACCTTCGTCGAAGTTGACGACGAGGGGGTCCACGGGCAGCGGCGCGAACGGAGCGCCAGCGTCGTGACGCGGCACACCCAGCAACGTGCTATCCAGCACCACTACGGACATCATCACATAAACATTATTACTTCTCATTAGTATGACTTTCAATTAAAACAGAGTTTTTTTTTATTTATTTTTATTGCTTAGATGGGTGGACGAGCTCATAGCCCACCTGGTGTTAAGTGGTTACTGGAGCCCATAGACATCTACGACGTAAACGCGCCATCCACAAAAAATGTCACCCACAGAGATAAATGATTGTGGCTCACTAATGATTACCATAAGTTCCTTGTTATTACAAAACTCTTCCAGAATCGGTGAGTAAAAATTATTTTGAAGGACTAGAATCTAATATCTCAAAAAAATAATGTTATACACATTTTCAAAGTACCAATTCAAACAAAATCATCAGACCTTAGAACTTATATCCCAAGGTGTAGGTGGCGGCATTTACATTGTAGATGTCTATGGGCTTCGGTAACCGCTTAACACCAGGTGGGCCGAGAGCTCGTCCACACATAAACAATAAAAAAAAAATACAAAATTATGATACCAAAATAAATCTGCAGTAAAAAAACCAAAAAACAAATAAATAGTGTAAAAACAAATTATACATATAAATAGAATTGGAGTGTCTGTTTGTAATATTGAAATAACCGCTTTTGAAATCATCCATATGAATATATATACAGTACATAGACCAAAATAACATTTTTTACAATTTTTGTCTGTCTGTCTGTCTGTTTGTTTGTTTGTTCCAGATAATCTCTGGAACGGCTGGACCGATTTTTACTAGAATTTCATGATAGGTAGCTGATGGTATAAGAAGTAAGTTAGGCTACTTTTTTTAGACTAGCTTCGCCCCGCGGCGTCATTGCGTACCGCGGGTAACATCGCGGTACTCAGCTATGAGTAATAAAATTTAATGTTTCCGAAGCGAAGCGAGGGCGGGTCGCTAGTATATCATAGTTACAATTTTACTAATGCAATCAACATGTATATACCTTGTCTTTGTTGCTGCCACAGAAGCGGCACCGGGGCGGGCACAGCAGGGGGCGGGATGGCTCCCATCGGTGGCTGCTCCACCACACTCTCGTTTAGGCAAGCCTGAACACATGTGTGCCATAAAAAACTTTTAACACTTATATACCAATAATCTTTTGCATGAATGAGTGCATTATATATTCTTTGTGACTTTGGCCTATCCAAAATCAACAGACATGTGAAGCCCTTACCATATGAACGATGTTAAGAGGTATAACTGTTTCTACCATGAAATATTACAATGTGCCAATTTGAAAAATGGAATACCCATTTTACATGTTGAACCTCTTTTCTCAAGGTAGTCAGCAATATGTCTATGAGTAAGCAGTACTACAGTTATTAAAGCAAAAGATGAGTGCTAAACTATTATTATGGAATTGTTAAGGTTAGTGGGATTGTTACGTCAGTAATGGATTGAAACATGTACAGTGCAAGAAAAAAAGGGATATTTCCTGTTTTTAAAGTTAAGTGTTGTCAAGAGAAATGAGAAACAAAATTCTTCATTTGAAGTTTAAATCTAATAAATAAAAATCAATTTAAATTACAATGATTTTTATCACAATTTATAATTATATTTAAAAGTGTAATTATATTTAAAAGAGAACTGCATCACTCCATTTTTTTTAATTGTTTCAATACTTTCTATGATTTAAGGTAAAATTGACACCTACTTTTTGCTTTAAAATTGAAATCATTGTTTCAATTACTTTTAAAACTTGCTAAACATATTGCAATACAAAAACTATTAAACAGACAAAATGTTTGCGCTTGTTTAAGTTCAATAAAGTTGCTTACATGAACAGGTGGGGCAGGCTGACTTGGAGCAATTCCATCAGTACGTGCCTCGGGGTTCTTATGCATGAATGGGCAGTGAATCTTGCGGCAGCCACCAGGTTGGTTCTCCCAGTAGCATGGAATTTGTTTACGATTTTTCTGTAAATCAATAAGCTTAATATTAATTTATACTAAAGTAGAATTTTCTTTTGTATGCATCCAATCTACATAGCTTTAATCATAATTTTAAATCATAACTATTCATTTTAATCTCCTTTTCCTTTACTCCTGTTTTATTTTTAGATTATTTAAATTAAAAAGAAGCATTATAGACACATACCCTAAGCTCCATGTGACGTAGTTTACAGCGTTTATCAGTACATTTCCCCTGTTGCCAGGCTGTGCACATTGTTTCACAGCCTAAGGCTGACGGCTCATGGCGAAACACACAATTATCTCCCTGGAAACAAAAAAATTAGAGACTCAAATTTTTGTACATGTCAAATCAATTGGTAATGTGGTTTTAGTCATTAGTAAATAGGTTTACTTCCAGATAAATAAATTAATCTCTTTTAAAATAAGAGCTACTGTACATTCACTTTACAAATGGAATAATATTATTTACCAGAATTGAAGTGCATTAAATATTTTCCGATAGTTAAGTGTTGGACTAAATTTTAAATAACATGTGTTCAAATAGGTAGACAAAAATTAACACGAAATAACACTAGTACTACAAGAAATAGTAGTGAGTAATTAAACAATAACGCTTACCTTTGTACATGTGGAATAGTAATAAAAGTAACAATCGTTGAATTTACGTGGAGACTCCATGGTATTTTTCGCTATCCGGACTCTGTCAATGACAACACTTTATGAGTACCGAAACAACATAATGATTTCACGATTATTTTTAACACAAAAACGGTCTTTTATATTTTAAGGTTATTTACGTAAACATATGAAACACTATAAATTTATCCGAAAATCGAAATTTTTCGTTCTGACAGCACGTCTAAACGATCAGCGCGGTTAAATTGCAAATTACCAAACTTATCTCGGAACCCTAAAATGATTTGAATACTCACCGAGCAAATTTTAAAACACTAATTAACCTTTAGTTCGTGAAAGTAGTTTATAGAAAATAACAATTTTTGAAACACAAAATTATATTCAAACGTCACAACGAGATGGAAGATGTGGTAGTTGGTAGTTATGGCGGATGTAGAGCTTACGATCTTGATTCGATTTAGACAAAAATCGATTTGAATCTGTAAATCGATTCTTAATTGACTTTTAGAAAATAAGTGGATAAATCGATTGAAAGTACAATTTTAACCATCATAATATTGATTATTGACGAAAGAAATTAATTTTCAAAGCTTCGATCTTTGGCAAGAAACCAGATACGGCTAACTATTAAAATTTAATTACGGCACTCAAAAATTATGTCAGACATGCTTTAAGCTGCCCTAATCGCCACGCTTGGCATGTGGCGGATTGACTATTGCAGTGTGGTGCTATGATACTCGGAGAACGCTGTTGCCCATTCTCATGAAACGGCTGATTGTACTAGCCTTCAGCCATATGCAGTTTGGACGGAAGAAGAACAATGGCGAGGTTTTATTTTTGTATTTGTTAAGTCAATTTCACGAAGCTCGCTGAAGGATTTTTTTGTAAACTATTCTAGTGACTTAGGGGAAGGGGCCTAGGGGACTACATTAACCTGGCGAGTGAAGGAATATAAATACAACACGCACTTATATAACGGTAGGCAGCGGCTTGTCTCTGCCCCTGGCATTGCTGAAGTCCGCGATGGTAACTATTCACCATAAGGTGGACCGTATGCTCGTCTGTCTATGCAGGCAATAAAAATAAATAAAAACTAATTTACTGTAATACTGGCTGGTAAAACGTCAGGAGAGACAAGATAGACGTCATACGATGTGAAACTGCGTTTCGTCGTGTGTAAGTACTTGTACACCTGTACAACACTCACGGAGGAGGACAAGGGGAGGTATTTGTCGACATACGACATAGGGAAGATCTTCCACCGAGCGGGTGATATCGATCGGCAGACCACCGGTCCGAATGTTCTTATTCAAAGCTTGTATGTATGCAAGCTTATTTTGAAAATGTCGTAAGCGAGGTTCAGGCATCTGTCAAATATCTTCTGTTCTGTGATGGCTGCCACCATATCACTCCCCTCCAAGACCGGAAGTCGTCCCATTATGTTAGCGTTGTCCGTGCTGAGATTAGCTTGCAAGTGCTAGTGCTGCTTGGAATCTGCGGTGAGTCGAGACTGATTTTTGGCAGAGAACAGGACACACTGCTCTTAGAACAGATGACCACTGAGACCAAAAAGTTCTCGAGTGGCGATCGCGTACCGGAAGACATAGCGTAGATAGGCTTCCCACAAAGTGGATCGAAGACCTATTGGGGTTCGTAGGAAACCATTGGATGTAGGCAGCGCAGAACCGTGTGTTGTGGCAAGGCTTGGGTGGGGCTATATCCAGCAGTAGACATCTGTGTAGCAGATAGACACAACCTGTAATCCCAAATCGATTTTTAAAAAAAACTGTCACTTTTCCAAAATCGATATGATTCCAATCAGTTAATGTTTTCGATTTTTCGTCATAAATTGAAAACTAACAAGAGGTGACACTCTACAATATTTAATTATACTCATATCTCTATTTAGTCCATAGATAATATAAGAATTTAGTCTGTGATTGTACTCTATTATGGAAATTGGAGGGCTGCCTACTTTTAGCCTCCGTTATGGTATACCTACACAATTTGACGGAAATTGCGCATAAAGATGTCTTGTAATATTATTATGAGGTCTTCTCATGCATATAGGTAAGTAGATTGATGAGTCCGACGGACGGGTTTTAAATATTAGTATAACATTTTTTATGTATCCACACCGTACTTTGTGCGTAGTGCGAGTTTTGTAACTTCTCGGTCGCTCGGTAAAAGTTAAAAAACTCAGTCTAAGCACACAGATGAATTTTTGTTCTATCCCTTTATTCTTGTATCAGGCACTGCTTAGACAGCAAAGGACAAGTCGCTTACCCACTGAATTTCCTTTCGCAATTACGTAGTAGGTAGTAGACTCTTCAAACCACTGCTCTTGTTAGGGCTAGTGTTAGCACGTTCGCTCAGGTGAGCCCGTGAGCTCCTTTAGTCGTCCAGGCGTTGCTGGAATAGCCTCTATCTTCTCTTAGGCTGCCAGCGAATAGGTAGGTAAAAATACTTACTATTGGAAGTACTTGGCGAAAAAACTATCATAGACTTAATAGTTAAATTTGGCTACACTTGGTAAATCCAGCCTAGAATCGGTATTTTAAACTAAACTAACATTCTAAATGACCGAATATTACGGCACATAATTGGCGGTGGCGATAAATTCATGTCTATCGAGGTCCTTTGTGTTTTATACCCCATACCACCTACAATAAACCCTTCCAATTAGAATGTATTATATCTAATAAAGTCAGAGAATGAAATTAGATGGTCGTTTTTGTTACTGTTATGCTGAATTTTGTATAAAATAAAAGGCTGTTTATGTTGTATGAACTTTATTTATTATTTATTACATCATGATTTTTTTACAATAAATAAATGCTGATAATAATTAATATGAAACGTCATGTCTAAAATAAGCAAATTTAATTAACTAATCTATAGAGAGTAACATGTATTCTAATATATAAAAAAAACAAAAAAATAGAAAAATGTGTACCTTCAGTGTCCTTCAGCAATACAAAAAACAATCTGATATAGATGGTGATAAAAAATAAAACGTCGATAATACGAAATTCGTAACGACAACGTTTAGTCGTACGTAGTTTAGTCCAATTATAAAAATGATGATTCTGTGAAAATAATAGTAACTGGTAACAATTTCTAGGAATTGCGGCAACTTAATGTCTATTAAAGGATTTTATTAGTCACTAACTAGTACTAGAACTACAGCTGCTTGTAAACTAAAGAGACAACATTGAGTGAACGGTTTATATTTAACAAATAATTTCAAAAACGTCATAAGAAAATTTAAAATGTAGGGTACACAATTGATTACATACAGTAAGGAGGGAATGAATACATGAAAATTTTGTACATTAAAAAACCAATACTGACGGGAATGTTTCGGTTATAATTTGATTAATAACAGTGGTTACACGGTGTTAATATTCGTATTGCCTCATCTCAGCTTAACAAGTTTTCCAATAAACCTACTGGATGTCAGCCAACTCTTCGATTGTTGTAACGAACACATTCCAAACACAACACTAAATAACATACAATGTGACATCTTCTGTAGCAGAACAATCAATTTCTTTGTCATTATACTGCATGTTCATGTTACTGCCTAAGGCGACAAGGATCTTCATGAACGAGATTAAAATCGAAGTTACGTGCTGCCATATTGTAAAAGATGTTTTTTTTTTTAAGTTGTAGATTTTATTCACTACTAAAACTCGTAAAAAGTAAGAAAATACAACTGTTCGGATCTGATGTAAAGAGAACATTATTAAATGTGGATTGCAGATATGCCAAAACCACAACCACAACGTATTCTAGTATATAATGCTCCACTGAAATAAATTACAATTTCAGACAAAAATAACAATTGAAATCAATTCCCAGGCAATATTATGACACGCATCACGATCCTTTATCATATTCAAAGAGTCTTGTCGCCCTAACATTTTTTGACTCAACACATTTTAATTTTTTTCGTCTCATCAATACGTAAGCACTTTAATCTACACAGACAAGTTGACGGAGACAGAATAAATTCGTGTAATGTTCAAATTTAGGCAAGCGTGAAAAGATGTCACATTCGAGATGAAATTTATAATACCACAACAAAACAAACAGAACACATTATTTTTATTCGAGGATCGCGCGTTGCAAACTCGTAAAACAGTCTTAAAACTCATCCAAACATAAATAAGGTTAGCACAATACAATCGGCGTGTGAAGTACTGACACGGAAGTTTCTCAAACAACATACAATATGTAGTATTCTAGAACAGTCCCGCCCGCGCAATACTTCCAACGCATAAAACAAAAATAATTTTAAAACGTTATTATTATTAGTCAAACACCTCCCTCAATCATAGTTTTCACCGGCCATGAAATCTACATTGAGTTCCACACGCGTACATACAAAAATTAGGTTTTTCGCATCTTTTCTATACACTACTTTTTTTTTCGTAAGCGCTATCTCCAATTTATTTATTTGCTAGGGTTTGTAATAATGTTGATGTATCTATAACTATTATGGGGCAGGATTAGTATTAATAAAAGTATATAATAGTGAAATCAAAGGATGCTGTATTACAAACCTATAACATTGTTTATCATTAATCACTTCTTTAGTTTCGTAAGATGGATTATATTACATTCCATTCTTGTATCGCCCTCAAATTTATAATTAATGAAGTATTAATGAAGTTTCATTGGATATTCCAATAATGAAAGTGATCTCCATTTTAAAATTATTAATAATGAAATCAATGAGACACGTAGGCCGATTAAACTGACTAATACATATTCTGTAGAAACTTCTAGAAGCAAGTGCATTACCGAACTGGAACATCACGAAAAAAAAAGCCGATCTAGATATACTGAATTGATAGAATATCCATTATATTGGTTTACACATCAATTTATTTTTGATAATTAATGTCTAATATTATTCTAAGCTCCGTAATATGTACTTCACATTAACTACGGCCAGACAACGTTAATTAATCACACGTTTCAATTTACGCCAATTTTAAATACCGATTTATGACTAAACATGTTTTAGTTCCCTTACTAAGGTCCCAGAACTCGCAAGCACACCTAATACCCTGTCAGAGGCGATACTGTTTAGCGGTATTGTCGTCGTTATATCTTAGCAAGGGATACGAAATTCTTGTGTATGAACTAATCAGGCGTCACAAAAAAATCTACAACGTGTAACTAAATTTCGTGCGTTAGTCGATCACAAGCAGTGGTAATATGTTAAATAAGTCGATTCAAATAATCATTTTGAACTACAAAGCGAATGATAAATCGAATTATTGCTTCGTGCCTCACGAACATTTAATTCTAAGGAAACCTCGAGTGCAGCGCACCGCTTTGTCTAAGGATAACAACTCACAATTTCTTTATCAACGAATGGCACACGGTATTTTCAACTTTTCAGATAAATCACAACAAGATTGAAACTAGTGTTGCAGAAAGAAATTGTGAGTGTGGTTATGAATGGTGTGTGAAAGAGAGAGCTACATAATCCGCGTGGTTGCAACAGGGACCGCCTATCTTTTGGAGGAGCTCTTGATTTGTTGCAGTTTCAGGCGCAGAGCGTCGACCGCCGCCTCGTTCTTGTGTGACAGCGGTTGTGTGGTGTGAAGCTGGAAAATATGATAATCATTAATTAGTATTAGTGTTCGCCTAATTAGTTGAAATTCAATTTCGATTTTCTGTATTACACTTTTGATTTGTCAGAAAACGATAGCAGGCGATTCCGACTTCTCTTTTCCAAAAATGGCAATGGTACTTTTTGAAGACACTTTCCATCTAACAATCTATACTAATATATAAATCTACAGTGGTTTTTACGGATGTTCCGTTATAACTACTGAACCATGCATCCGATTGACTTGAAACTTGGTATCCATGTAGAAAATACATGTACTTTATGGATAGGCTAATATTTATATGAGTGTTGGATTCCCTAAACCAGTTGCGGGGACGTTAATGATGAGAATCTTTGTGGGGGTGAGAAATAATAATGTCATTTTTAAATGCCCAGCGAAGCGGACGGGTAGAACTAGTAGTTGTATACTATAAAAATATTTGAACGCTTTATCAAGAACTTACTTAATCATTGCTTGTTAATACTTACTAGAGGCCACGCAGTAGTCGAAAGTCGACTATAATTCATTGAAATTACAAGTTTCAACATTACTATGGTTCTATTGTTACAGATTTCGCCAAGACTACACTATACAAAAATTAAATAATAAAGATAAACAATATTAACCTATTCTCAATTTGACTACAGACTTTTAAGCAATAACAAAAGTTTGACAATAAACAAAGAGTATATGTGTGTGTGTCAAATACATGGTAGTGTGTGTAATGTTTTCTTTATTGATTTAACGTATTTTTAATCCATAATTTGAAAAAAATATTAGTATTCTGCACTTCTTCTCTACATTCTCTATAAATGTGGAAAATTTCATACTCCTCCGTCCATGCAATTTTCGTAATAAGGGGTACAAAGTTTTTGCTTCACGTATTAATATATAGATATTTTACAAAAAAAAATATCCCCCTACGCATGTACGGCACAGACAGCTTAGACAAATATATTATTTAAAGTTGTGTGTGTGTATATGTACCTCCAGCTGCGGGTCGATGCTGTGCGGCTTGGGCAGCGTGCTGTCGTTAATGGAGTCGACGAGCGCTCTGTTGTCGGCGATGGGCGTGCGAGCTTGTGACGGGGACTCTGTTTTCATTCCAGCTTTCGCCTGAAAATATTCACAACAAAACAATGTATATCTGCTAATGTTCGAAACACAAACATTTTGGAAAAGTATTTTTTCGAATACGAAAAGGCAATAAACGACTATCCTAGGCCTAAACGAAAACAATACTTGTCGTTACAACATTAAGTTATTTTTTCACGGCGCCTTAAGTTTTCTAGAAACCTGCATTAGCAGACAAAGATTGGGCCTGCGTTAGCAAACCAAAATTAAAAAAACTTTTTTCATATTACTGTGTTATGAGTGTTTACGTTAGATTTTTGATAAATATTAAAATCTATTATAATCAATTTACACAAAACACAGTAATAATAAAAACTATAGCCAGAGAACCAACATTAAACTATTTTTAATAATATAACATTTTAGTTTTAATTTTTTAAAATTAAATTAGGAATACAAAGACTGTCAGAAACTTCATAAAGAAACTTTGAAAGCATAGTTAAAATATAAATATGGATTACCTGCAAAGCTCTGAGTCTTTCCAAGAAGATCACATGTGATTTCTCGTCGTGTTCATTACTTATGTCTGTACAACAATAAAACTAAATTACAAATCGTCCAAGGATTAATAAGTCAACAAACGTATGACCACTGGTGGTAGGACCTCTTGTCAGTCCGCACGGGTAGGTACCACCACCCCGCTTATATCTGTCGTGAAGCAGTAATGCGTTTCGGTTTGAAGGGCGGGGCAGCCGTTGTAACTATATTGAGACCTTAGAACTTATATCTCGAGGTGGGTGGCGCATTTACGTTGTAGACGTCTATGGGTTCCAGTAAACACTTAACACCAGGTGGGCCCGGTCATCGTTCTCGTCGAACCCGTCGCTTGTGACGAAGGGGTTGACGAGTAAATGAACCCTCAGACACAGCCCACGAGTTTCTCGCCGGATCTTCTCAGTAGGTCGCGTTTCCGATCCGGTGGTAGATTCTGCGAAGCACTGCTCTTGCTAGGGTTCGTGTTAGCAACGTCATCAGGTTTGAGCCCCGTGAGCTCACCTACTAGTTAAGGCTACGCTGATATAGCCTCTCAAGGCTATCAGCTCAAGAAGAAAAAAAAAAAAAAACAAGAATAGTTCACCAATGTTGTCAGCCTTGTAGTCGTGTTTGTACATGAGCATAGAGCCCAGTTTCCTCTGCTCGGCCACTTCGCGCAGGCCTCGCTCGACGAAGTTGCGGAAGTAGTACGACGAGCCTTGCATGAAAGTCCAAATGTCCACGTCCGGGTGTCGCTCCTGGAAAAACAGTTTTGGAAGCGTCAGAAATATTTTACCGTCGCTTGTGCTCACACAATGTGCTCCCTACTGTGGTTTACAGTGTCCTCGAGCAACTTCCCATAGAAACGAGACTATCGACGATTTGCTACCAGAAGGTTCTTGGTTACTTTGGTCACATTGCTCGGCGGCCACCAGACAACCTTGAAAGATTGACTGTGGTGGGCAAGGTAGAAGGGAAAAGACCCGCTGGCCGGCCACCAAACCCTTGGTCAGATCAGGTAACTGCGCTCACTGGACTCTCTGTTGCGACCGCCCTGAGAGAAGCCGAAAACCGAAGGAAATGGAAGCTGATGGTACAAAGAGCCACAAAGGGCTTTCAGGGACACGACCTTCAGCTATGAAGTATGCGACTAAGAGAGAGAGACTACTGAGAGTAACGTTGCAAATTCGAGAACGTAGTTTACCTTACATCTAGAAAAATAATGATTAATGACAATAGGCAGAGAGTTTGGTCGTTCTACCTTAGACCGTAATTCAGGGTTGTCGATAGCCGACATCGATAATTTTCAGAGCTCATTTTTTTAATGCTTATATTATGTCTTTTTTAATATAAAAAATAGAGACCTTAGGAATTAGAAAACTAGGTAGTAAAATAGATCGGGATAATTTTAGTACAAATATATAAAAAGGTTGAGGACACATACTTTTTTTTTTTTTTTTATTGCTTAGATGTGTGGACGAGCTCACAGCCCACCTGGTGTTAAGTGGTTACTGGAGCCCATAGACATCTACAACGTAAATGCGCCACACACCTTGAGATATAGTTCTAAGGTCTCAGTATAGTCACAACGGCTGCCCCACCCTTCAAACCGAAACGCATTACTGCTTCACGGCAGAAATAGGNCACATACTTTTTTTTTTTTTTTTATTGCTTAGATGTGTGGACGAGCTCACAGCCCACCTGGTGTTAAGTGGTTACTGGAGCCCATAGACATCTACAACGTAAATGCGCCACACACCTTGAGATATAGTTCTAAGGTCTCAGTATAGTCACAACGGCTGCCCCACCCTTCAAACCGAAACGCATTACTGCTTCACGGCAGAAATAGCCGGGCCGGTGGTACCTACCCGTGCGGACTCACAAGAGGTCCTACTACCAGTAATTACGCAAATTATAATTTTGCGGGTTTGATTTTTATTGCACGATGTTATTCCTTCACCGTGGAAGCCAATCGTGAACATTTGTTGAGTACATACATGTTTCTTCTGATTTATCGACTATTACCATTTATATTCCCTAGCCTAAAATTTCTATAAAATCTAATCAGGAATATGTATTGCGATTACGATGTATACGATTCGTAATTCGTTTCCAAATAATTCTTGTCCACCTGATGGTTGTCTGGAAGAGATCGGATTTAGCGATAAGACCTCCAATTGTACTTTTTTTTGTATTTATTGATTTTATTTTTAGTATTTTTATTGTTTAGATGGGTGTACGAGCTTACAGCCCACCTAGTATTAAGTGGTTACTGAAGCCCATAGACAACTACAACGTAAATGCGCCACTCACCTCGAGATATGGTGGGGCAGCCGTTGTAACTATACTAAGATCTTAGAACTTATATCTCAAGATGGGTGGCGCATTTACGTTGTAGGTGTCTATGGGCTTCAGTAACCACTTTACACCAGGTGGGCTGTGAGCTCGTCCAACCATTTAAGCAATAAAAAATAAAAAATAGGTTCTAAGGTTTCAGTATAGTTACAACGGCTGCCCCACTCTTCATACCGAAACGCATTACTGCTTCACGACAGAAATAGGCAGGGCGGTGGTACCTACCCGCGCGGACTCAAGAGGTCCTACCACCAGTAAACAGTAATGTTTCGCATTGTTTTTTTGTTGATGAACAATTTTTTTTTCTATTACCCTTGTCGGCAGACGAGCATACGGCCCACCTGATAGTGAGCGGTTACCGTCACTCATGGACTTCAGCAATGCCAGGGGCAGAGCCTTGCCGCTGCCTGCCTATGTGTCGATACCGGAGTGTTAGAGAGCGCTCGACTGACCCTCAAGTCGTAGAGCTGTACGAGCGCCTCCTTGTGGTGCTCCTTGCTGCCGATGCGCTTGAGGATGAGGGCGAGCTCCTCGTGCACGGCGCGCGGCAGGCGGCCGGCGGTGAGCGCGGCGTTGGGCGTGACGGACGCCAGGACAGAGCCTCCGTTGATCGCGTCCGGAGTGTTTTCTTTCTTTTCGTCCAGTTTCAGTTGCTGTACGTGTAAGCGAACTTTAGAAAAGATTTATTTCAATAATTCATCATCACCTTATATTTGTTACTCTCGAAATATTTTTGAAGTTATACTTCTTTAGGCGCGTTATGAAAAATTGATGAGAGTGAAATTATACGATGCGCGCGCACCGTGACACAAAATTAACAGAATGAAGTTGCCCACTAAATCGCTCATTACAATACGACCGACGTAACTTGGCGAGTCTGGATATAGCCGCAGGTGAACTTTCCGAACCGTACCGAGAATTACCGAATTTATACGATATCAAGAAAAGGGATGTCCAATATGCGTGTTTGAGGATGTTGTTTAATCGATTTTTTTTCAAATTGATTATTATTTAAATTAAAAAAAAAGAAATAAATTTAATAAAAATAAAGTATAACTTCTTACGTGCGTACATAAGTACACGCACCCTTTTTTCTAAATAATAATCTGTCAAAGGATATAAAATTTCTTTTACTCTTTTTATGGTAATGTAAATTCTTTTAAAATACTAGCTGACCCGGCAAACGTTTTGCCATATATAAGATTTCTAGGGAATTACTAGTGTAGAAAAAAAAACTAACTTATTGTAAGTGTGTAAGGATGTGGTAAATGAGTGAAAGAGGCATGTAGCGCTGTGAACGATGAGGGAATATAAAAATGACAAAACCTCATTCAACCACATAATGCCGCATTATAACAAACAAACAAAAATGTTCAAAAAATAAATAATAAATGTTAGGGGTGGACAACCCTTATCACTTAGGGGTATGAAAAATAGATAGTAGCCGATTCTCAGACCTACTGAATATGCATATACTCAACCTCTGAACGAAACTCAAAGCTCTGAACGAAAACCTTACTTCTAATCGATTTGTGGCTATATTTTAAGTATATAAAAATAAAATATAAAACGATATAAACAATAGATTCACATACCTTCAAAACTTTAAGTAAATAAGGGTAGAGGTCAGATTCGTTGACGTCCGGTACCTGGGTGAGATGGTTCACTATCGATGAGCCTTTCATTTTGACTAGAGTATGTACCAATGTTTTCACTGTCCTAGAATATACAGAAAATACTGTTTATATATTATTATCATTAATAATTACTTCTTCTTCTTCTTCTTCTTCCTTCAGTCCACAACGTCCACTGCTGGACAAAGCCTCCTTAAGCCTCGCCACAACGAACGGTCACCTGACGCCTGCTTCCACCGGAATCTCGCGACCCTCAACAGGTCATCGGTCTACCAGGTGGGAGGCCTACCCACGCTACGTCTCCCGATACGCGGTCGACACTCGAAAACTTTTCAGCTTTGAAGGCCATGTGTTCTAACGAGCGAAGCGTCTTGCCCAATAATCACAAATATTTGAAATACATATTAAGCTTATGTAGTAATTTAGTAAGAAATAATTATTATTATCTTTAATCCTTTTTTTTAAAGTGAAACTTTTATTACATCGTCTCAAACTTTTTCGCCTGTGTGTTGAATGTCGCGTGACGGTCGGCTGCAGAGTAGGGATAAAGTGAAAGGGGCTCGTCAGAGCAGCCAAGGCCAATATGGCGGCGCCTATAGTTCGCAGCAGCTGACCGTGTAGTGTATAGACTCATTTGTGCCAGTGCTTCACGATATTTTGTTTGTTTTTGTTAGTATTTAATGTAAATGTTGTTTGTCAGAGTTCAATATCTATAATGTGAAAAAAAAATCACTTTTACCGTGGTTTCATAAAACCATACAATCCTTTTTTTCTTCACACTGAAATAGTAGTTTTCTCACCTGTATGGCGTATCGCTTATATCAGGATTCTTCTTCCAAAAGCTATTCGGATAAGCCTTATAGAACAAATGTATTTTGTACAGCACGGCGTCGTAGTCTATCGAATTGACATCCCAAGTGGAGATCATCTTCAACGTCTTCCAGAAGCACTTGAGGAGGAGGTCCTGGTAGCGCGGGTACTCCGGCTCTGACACTCCGATTGAATCATGGAGCAGGGAGACTATTGCGCTGTATGAAATAAACAAAAGAATATCATCAAATCTGATAAAAGTAAAATAAAATTTCGTATGAGCATGCAGGATATTTGAGTTTACACTATACTAAAGTGTAAACTATAACTATAAATTAAATCATATTTAAACGATCTATGCTATTTTGCTAGAATATTTTTAGGGTCTTTACTGTCTTCGGTATAGGTACAATATACTAAGTTAAATTATTTGTGTTCCTGCTCTTTAGTTTAAATGACAAACGAATCAACAGCCACCAAGTATTACACAGTGGAGCCTACAGAACTTACAAAATGAATGTCAGTGCTAACTTTGGAGAATAGTTTTGGATGCCCTTTAATACACAATGGACATTTATTTAGCAGCATTAACAAATAAATCTAAGATAATTCTTATGAAACACTGAGAAGTAATTTATGAAACTGTTATTTAAAAAAAGGACTTTTAAAGTTTATTATTGTAGACCTTAATGGGTTTTGTGTGTGTTTTTTTTGCTTAGATGGGTGGACGAGCTCACAGCCCACCTGGTGTTAAGTGGTTACCGGAGCCCATAGACATCTACAACGTAAATGCCGCCACCCACCTTGAAACATGAGTTGTAAAGTCTCCCTTTTAACATTTTTTATTGTTTAGATGGGTGGACGAGCTCACAGCCCACCTGGTTTTAAATGGTTACTGGAGCCCATAGACATTTAGTACGTAAATGCGCCACCCACCTTGAGATGTAAGTTCTAAGGTCTCAGTATAGTTACAACGGCTGCTTTACCCTTCAAACCGAAACGCATTACTGCTTCACGGCAGAAATAGGCAAGGTGGCGGTACCTACCCGTGCGGACTCACTAGAGGTCCTACCACCAGTAATAAATAACAGTACAAGAATGAAGTGTCGATGGCTCACCAGAGCAGCGGCGTGCGGGGCGAGTGCTCGAGCACGCGCACGCACACGTTGTTGAGGATGCGCACGAGCCGCTCGGCGTCCGCGCCCCCCGCCGCCCCCGCCGCGCCCCCCGCGCCCAGCACGCGGAGCAGCTCCCCCAGCAGGCAGCACAACGCGCTCTCGCCCACTTGCGAGCCGCAGCCGGCTGTGTCGTAGAACTGTGTGAACAATGTTAATCCAGTTTAATATAAAAATACAATCGATTCGATGTTCATAATAAATAAATAACAGTCAGATGCAATAACACATTCGTTTTATTTTTATTTATACCCAATTAATAAACAAAAGTTAGAACATTCATGATATACATGTCGGAGACGGTCATTAGTTTGATAGCTAAACGAAACGCAGCACGATTCCCGAAAGATTGCACGATTGCGGTATTTTAGAGACTCTGCTAACTGAGTGCTACGCCAGGGTCTAGCCGATGGGGGCGCTTAACCGTCACGTCACTTACCAACCAGCCTACTTGAAGAGCGGTAACTACGTCCTAAGAACTGTAATGCGTTTTCGTTTGCTAGCGTCAAGAGAAAAATTCTAAATTGTTCAAGATATCAAACGTGATGGTGTACTCAATATTTCTATTAGCTCGATCACCCTATGATGTCTGACAATGGTGTTAATAATTGTAGTTTCTCCGACATATATTTATATTCTGAACATCCGTAAAAAAGATTTTGAAGGGTATGGCATGCTGACATTGGTGAGCACCCCCGCGAGGCACTTGTAGGCGGAGAGCGCGTCGTGCGCTGGGGCGGGGGGCGCGGCCCGCAGCCGCCGCAGCTGCGCCGCCACCGCCGCCACCAGCCGCTGCTCGTGCGCGCCCAGCGCCGCGCCGCGCCCCGACACCACCACGCCGGAGATCAGCGACAACGCGCGCATGGCGGCCTGCCGAGCGACATTACATCATCATCATCATTCTCCTGCCCTTCTCCCAGTCACCTGGGGTCGGCTCAACATGTTTTCTCCTTCCATACTCCTCTATCAAATACCATTTCTTCGCTCACTCCCCTCTTTTCCATATCGTCTTTCACGCAATCCATCCATTTCTTCTCAGGTCTACCTCTTCCTCTATATCCTTCTATATTCATAGTTAACACTCTCTTACCAACGTAATTTTCATTTCGTCTCATCACATGTCCATACCATCTCAAACGCGCACTCCTCAGCTTCTCTGTCACAGGTGCCACTTTCAGACTTCCTCTAACATATTCATTCCGTATTCTATCCATTCTCGTTATTCCACACATCCATCGCAACATTCGCATCTCTGCTGCATGCAATCACCTTTCATCTACCACGCGGCATTACATACTGGACTTTATTACTACTACTACTACCCATCAGAGGTAGGCCTCAGTCACTCACGGCACAAAAGCAGATAATTAAGATAAAGTGAAATTTTATGGCAGATCATGAAAGAATCATACTTCAAATTATTTTTAACTTAAATATATTTTTCGAAATGAATATTTACGTATGGACTAGAAATAGTATTTTGCGAGCACTGCGGCCTTTTCTTTTTACATAACAGTGTATTTTTTTTTCTTTTGGCAGCAATTTATGCCAGTGTCATGTTGTAGTGTTTTTGGGATTTAACTAATCCACACTTCACAGCCAGTGTCACAGTGCTAGTACATGGTTATGTTATATTATTTGATTTAATTACTCTAAAACAATCGTGTTTCTGATTTAATTATGTAGTTGAAAATAACATATAGTATTAGTTAGGTTAGATATATATACAGATGAGAAACTAAATTCTAAACAGTGTAAAATAATGTGTTATACGAACATTGAGGTCGGGGCTGGATATGGAGTGGATGGTGTCCGCGAGTTGCGCGTCGTCGACGGCACAGGGCGGCGCGGCCGGCGCGGGCGCGGGGCGGCCCGGCGACGGCGGCACTATGCTGCAACCATATACAATGATATTACTTGTGGTAGGCCTTCTTGTGAGTCCGCACGGGTAAGTACCACCGCCCTGCCTATTTCTGCCGTGAAGCAGTAATGAGTTTCGGTTTGAAGGGCGAGGCAGCCGTTGTACCTATACTGAGACCTTAGAACTCATATCTCAAGGTGGGTGGCGGCATTTACGTTGGATATGTCTATGGGCTCCGGTAACCACTATACAATAAACATAAACAAAAAAAAAAACATTTTTATATCCACATAAATATTACACACAACATTTTACTCTACACAACTCTTTATTTTAAAACAGACAAACTTACATGATAATTGCCAGTTACTGATCAAGGATATAGGGGTGTGAAAATAGGGATTGGCCGTGTGGTGGCTTAGAACAGCTCTTCATCAACCCAGGAGGTTACTACACTAATATGTGTATCTTATGTTTTAGCGGTGGATTTTACAGGCTTGCACACTGTCTCCCACTGTTCATCTCTCTTTCAAAGTGCATTCTAGTTTGAAAGACAGAACTGCCAATGAATTTGATTTCATATACTAAGTTAACAGATAACATTAATATTTGGTTGTGGTTCTACATACCTGGCCCTGACTGGTTGGACGGTGGGTTTCCTCATGCCTCCAACGGGCACAGGGTCGTCCAAAAATTTCAAGTCTGGCTGAGCTAGTTCTGGCCTCCGTACTGAGGGAACTGCTGCGTCTAACTGTGCTATCAGGTCTGGATCTAGACCGAACGGGCCGGTAATGACTCTCGGTTCCAGCGGTGCACTGTAAGTTGAATTATAAAATTAATTAACACTTAATTAAAAATTTAGAAAGATCCTGAATTTCATACAGGTTTTTTTTCCCCTTTGTTATTGAGTTATTCTCGCCCGGAGAATCTAGTATAACCTCACGAGGTTACTAGAATAGGTAGGAAAAAGAAGAAAAAAATTGTAAATTAACATCTTTAAAATAATGACACGCCATTATCTCTGAAGCTGCTTTTAAACTGCGCTATAATATAATAGCATATAGTATATAGCTCATAGCACAACAATATCACGCACCATACATTGTTATGGACATTAACACTATACTGTCCTATATATTATAGGCTAAGTATAGGCTGCTAGTCTGAAAGCAGCTTAAATAGTATTAATCAAAGTAGCTACCTGACTATATTTCCACTTACTACATTTCTACAAAAAACCCTGTCGAAATCTTAATTTAAAGTTTAGTCCACACTGTTGAAGCGCCGGGCGAATAACTAATTACACCTAACCTAAGCCAGCAAGTTTATTTTTATTGTTTCTTTGTTTGCAACACCACTGGTCTAACTTACACGTTCACGGGCGGTGGAGGTTGTTGTTCTTCCTCCTCCTCTTCCTCCTCGTATTCCGCCTGCGGTATAGTGTCAGCTGATATCATGCGACGTGGTATTTCGGGCTCCTTCGATATAAATGTATATTATTGTAATATTCCATTGAATTCACGTAAGGTTTTTGGAGATTTTTCCTAATTAGTTCTCATTAATCGGGAAAAGGTAACCACTAGTAAAGGCAAGTATTGTTTTAAACCTCGCAAGCTTAGTAAAGCTTGTTTTATCGAAATTTTTGTTACTATATTATATGGCGCAAAGAAAAATGAATAAAAATGGAAAAATGACGGTATTTTAATTAGTTGTATACATCTGTATAATTAATGAATTAACCAATTTAATTAAGATACCTTTTAATGCTTATAAATACATTTTTATTAGCAGATTTAATCATTATGTCAACCCTAATAAAAAATAGTAAAGCCATCATTCATATTAAAAAATAATTACATATTTACTTTACTGGTGGTAGGACCCCTTATGAGTCCCCGCGGGTAGGTACTACCGCCCTGCCTATTTCTGCCATGAAGCAGTAACGCGTTTCGGTTTAAAGAGTGGGGCAGCTGTTGTAACTATACTGAGACCTTAGAACTTATATCTCAAGGTGGGTGGCGCATTTACGTTGTAGATGTCTATGGGCTCCAGTAATCACTTAACACCAGGTGGGCTGTAAGCTAGTCCGCCCATCGAAGCCATAAAAAAAAAATTACCTCTGGCTGCTGCAGAATAGGTTTCCCTGTAGCCGACAAAGGAACTACCATGGAACGTCGAGCCTCAGCGCTGCGAGTCTTGCCGGCTCTCTTGATGCGCTCTTCCAGTAATGAGAGGTCTTTGTCAGATATCTGCAATATGAAAAAGTAGTTCATCTTTTTTTTTTCTTCTTTTTTTCCTACCTAAGCTTTGAGCCTTGAGAGGCTATTTCAACCTTAACTAGTAGGTGAGCTCACCGGGCTCAAACCGGAGTGTTGCCAACACTGACCCTAACAAGAGCAGTGCTTCGCAGAATCTACCACCGGATCGGACACGCGACCCACTGAGAAGATCCGACGAGAAACTCAGTGAGCTGTGTCTGTAGGTTAATTCGCTCGTCGAGCCCTTCGTCGCAAGCGACGGGTTCGGCGAGGACGGTGACCGGTGCTTGTGGTACCTAAAAGCACCGTTAATGGATCGGGAGGATCCGTAATGACGTGTTTTGGGCGACGTCGACGAATTCATCAAGAGCACGCTAGTAACTTAGAAGCGCAGCATCCTCGCATCTTGTAAAACATGTCATTGTAATTATTTATTGTCATTCATTATTATTATAACGTACTTGACGTTTAAGTGGATTTATTTATATAAGTTTAGCTCATTGATTAAGCAGTTAGTATACATATCTTTGTTAAAGGTATTTTCAATTTGGGGTCTTGAATTTGTTTGTTTTCGCTACCCTTTCATTACTATATATAGAGGGGTGAAAGGCTATTTGGTTTGAGAGATATTTTTGTGACTTTACAGGCGAGCCATTTAAAGTATAAAAATATCATAAGAAAAACACTTCTTCAGCTATTTAAAAGGAGTAAACTTAATTTAATTTCAATTAAAAACGTCGAATTGTTGATGCCAGTACCAAATAAAACGGACCTTTGATTACAAATATAAATATCGCTTAAACCAATAATAACCTTTCACTCCTCTATATTAGACAACTTAAGTATGTATCTACTCAAGGAAAAAAGTAGTGTCGATTTTTACACGCTTTATATTAGCTTCACTTGTATGTATGTTTGTAACTGACTCCTTTAGACACGATTTTGATCCACTTTAAACGGCCACATTTCATTCAAACTTTGTAGATTCATCGAGGACCGATGACAATACACTAATTTGATAAGATTATTCCATTATTCAATTTCCAAAAAAAATTACCTAAAAAATTAAAAGTAAATAATAGTTTAAAAAAATTAAAAAACTCGCTTTATATAATGCGTGTTTTTTAGTTTTTTTAAACTATTATTAATTAATCTATATATATAAAAGAAAGTCGTGTTAGTTACACTATTTATAACTCAAGAACGGCTGAACTGATTTGGCTGAAAATTGGTGAGGAGGTAGCTTAAAACCAGGAGAAGGACATAGGATACTTTTTATCACGTTCCCATGGGACGTGACATAAAACGCGGCATAGCAAAACGCAACTGATATGGAATAAAAAAACGCAACTGACAGCTAAACATAATATATTTTATGGTTAATTATAGTAGAATTTTGAAGTTGACCGGTTGATGCGTTTGAAACAAACCGTGTGGCGGAACAAAGTTCGCTGGGTCCACTAGTTAATAATAAATCACAATCACCTGTCCAATCATCTTGTAGACTTTCTCTCCCTCGAGGAAGTAGGCGTTGGCGATACAGTTGAGGGCGGCGGAGCGGACCGCATTGTCCCGGTCGCCGATGTGACGCGCGAGCTCGCGGAGTGCGGCGGCGCCCGAGGTCAGCACCGTCGACCCGTACGTCTCCAACAAGTGCCCGATGCACTCCAGGCACTCTGTCGGAATACGACTTTTTAGCGGGAGCTCGAGGAGTGAAGTTGTGTGATTTGTTTTATTTTGTCTTTTGTAGGCAGACGAGCATACGGCCCTGATGGTACCTGATGGTAAGTGGTCACCGTCGCTCATGGACGTCAGCAATGCCGTCACGGCAGAGCCAAGCCGCTGCCTACAATTAAGTACTCTCCGCAAGCTTCGTTTGAAGAAGGATATGTCATACATAGCTCTCAGAAAACATCGTGGAGGGTAGTTCATTCCAAAGCCTGTGTTTCTTCAGGTTTAAATGTGTAATAACGTTGGTTTATTAACTGTTTATCTGTGAAAGTGCACAAATGTGGGAAAATGAAACAAAGCCGCTGGAAGTAACTTCTCGGGTACCTCCAAAAAGTCCAGTGAAAAAATCTCAGTAAGTGACCACCATTTTACTGAGATTATATTTCATCCCATATCATTTCATTTAATTTCACTGTATAATATAATCATTTTTCATAAAAATAAGAATATAAATTATAATAAGACATGACTTAAAGGTCTTAGTAACCAGGTCATAAAATCCCTTAAAAAAAATCTGTCGGAATATGTTGGTTCACGTACAATTGTTGGTACATGATACTGATACCAGATATACTTGTGTTGTGTAAATATAAATTTAGTAACCATTGACTGTGATAGCTATTTAACACCGGGTGGCTCATGACCTTAACCAACTATATTTATACTAGTAACTTTAATTCCTATCTACGCAATATGGTTTTACATCCTATATTTTGTGAATTCTTTTCAATTTAGGACACTTGGGAATTTCTATGAAAATGTATATACATATTTGGAAAACACAGAGAAACATCAAATAAAATTATTAGTAAGAGGATATATTTTTTTACAAGAGTTTAAGTTTTTTATAAGTTATTATAATATAATATGTGCTCACCGGCTCTTTGCCTCGCATTCTTAGATTTGAGTCCCTCCATGAGGTACCCAAACAATTTTGTAACAGAATACACAACGCATATTTGTCTGAAGAGTGCTTTGACTCCGTTGCGCACTGTATCTTTTGGATCCCCCACCTGTTAATAATAAAAAAAAACTTTTTGGATACTTACTATGGGTGAGAGTCAAATGTATTTATCACAAAACACTGCACATTAAACATCTGTTAATGTAGCTTATATTATATTAGATTTTTATTATTTTTTAAACAGTAAAAGTTCAGGAAAGTACTATCTTCTACTTTGTAATTTTTATTTTTATCTACTATCTAAATTTATTTTTTTATTTTTTTATCTACTATCTAAACTATTCGCGACACTTATCAGTGTTTCGATTCACATATTTACGACTTGAATTAGTTATCATCTTGATAGTTTAATCTATAATTTTATGTCATACACAAACAATAGAGCATTGTCAATAATCACTTTTGGGAATTAAACATAATCTCTCTAAGTCTATTTGAAATTTTGTTTTAATTTGTTACTGGCTCTTGTTGATATCATAGTCTGATGCACCTTCAGACATGAGCTTGAAGTTTAAATTCTTCTGTATTCTTCTGCTGTTTCCTGTTCAAACCAGAACACATGTCTGCTTTGAGATTGAAATGATTCTGATATTGTCATTATTTGCCATCTATAGATCAAAGTGCTAGTTCATAGAAATTCTACATTTTTAATGTTCTTCAGGAAAGTATCTAATGTCGATTTACTTAATTTTTTTTAGAATTATGATAAAACTATTTGTTAGATGAATTAAATATTATTTTTTTTTTTTTTTTTTTTTTTTTTTTTTTTTTTTTTTTTTTTTTTTTTTNAGGAATCCGTCCGACGGGGGACACGTCAAAGGGAAAACAAAATTGTTATTTTTATTTAATTCCGAGAATTTTCATATTTTTATACCTTTTAAACCTTCTCTGGACTTCCACAAATAATTCAAGACCAAAATTAGCCAAATCGGTCAAGCCGTTTTCATGTTATGTCGTGACAACGGAAAACGGGTTTCATTTTTATATATATAGATTATATAATATGTGCTCACCGGCTCTTTGCCTCGCATTCTTAGATTTGAGTCCCTCCATGAGGTACCCAAACAATTTTGTAACAGAATACACAACGCATATTTGTCTGAAGAGTGCTTTGACGCCATTGCGCACAGTGTCTTTTGGATCCCCCACCTGTTAATAAAAAAAGAACTTTTTTGATACTTACTATCGGTGAGAGTCAAATGTATTTATCACAAAACACTGTGCATTAAGTGTCTATTAATGTAGTTTATATTATATTATATTTTTATTATTTTTTAGACACTAGAAGTTCAGGAAAGTACAATCTTATACTTTGTAATTTTTATTTTTATCTATTATCTAAACTATTCGCGACACTTATCAGTGTTTCGATTCACATATTTACGACTTGAATTAGTTATCATCTTGATAGTTTAATCTATAAATTTATGTATGTAAATCCACATTTGTTTTTTGTCGTATGTGGTCATACACAAACAATAGAGCATTGTCAATAATCACTTTTGGGAACTAAACATAATCTCTCTAAGTCTATTTGAAATTTTGTTTTAATTTGTTACTGGATCTTGTTGATATCATAGTCTGATGCACCTTCAGACATGAGCTTGAAGTTTAAATTCTTCTGTATTCTTCTGCTGTTTCCTGTTCAAACCAGACCACATGTCTGCTTTGAGATTGAAATGATTCTGATATTGTAATTATTTGTCATCTATAGATCAAAGTGCTAGTTCATAGAAATTCTACATTTTTAATGTTCTTCAGGAAAGTATCTAATGTCGATTTACTTAATTTTTTTTAGAATTATGATAAAACTATTTGTTAGATGAATTAAATATTATCAATATTTTTGACAAAATGAACTGACCTTTAACACCAAATAAGGAATAAAACAATTTGCTTCATATTCCGCCATTGTGTAGTCGCAATCTATGAGATGGTGGAATACCATTGACAAGTACTCCAGTCCCTTGAGTATGACTGATGGATTTGTATCGAAAAATCGCAGAGTCAGCCACTTGAGGACCAAGTCCAAGTTGGAAACTAACGCTGGACCGTTCTCGTGAAGATCTTCAGATAATGCTTCGATCGCTTTTAGATGATATCTAGCAGGAAAAAAATATGTATACATATTTATGGGCAAAGAAAAATAATACCATATTGCTTCTGTTTTTCAATTGCTTTAGTTTTCCTTTTCTCTTATCTACAAGCTTTGGTGTTATCAATTTCAATGAGTAAGCTAGTATGAAAATGACACATAATAAAAAATAATTTCCGAGTACTAAAGTATTCATATTCATTAATGATATTTCTTTCTTTCACTATAGTTCCAATGATCACCCTTATCAGTCGAAATGTGAAAGGTTAACACAGAACTAATGTTGACGTTAACAATTTCGACAGAATCGGGTCTGTTACACCTCACTGACACCAGATGGCGCAGTTTAGCGACCTTACTAATGGCTGCTTTTGTCAGTGCGAGCGTGTACTGCGTTTATCCTAGTGCCTCTGTGCTTCAAAATTAAGAAAGTTGGGAAAGAAGTTATCATTAATCAATTTTAGTAATATTTCCCTTAGAAGGTAGATAAGGAACTTATTCTGTAGACTAATGAAGATAAGCCACAGATGCAATACTAATTATCTTCGATAATCTTATAATAATAATAATATTTAGTCGTCTTGGGTTGTAATATAAAGTCTTTGCAAACACAAAAGTACACAAAGAAAGTTTTTATTTAAGACGAACACAAATATAAAGAAAGAAGGAGAAAGTAACAAGAAACAGATTGTCCAAGCAACACAAGCAGTACACGAAACAAAAAGCAAAAATTATAAAAGGGCGTAGAACATAAAAGATATACGGGATGCGCGCTCGCAAGTCAGATTTCGACTGGTGGCGGTGGATCGGTAAGAATGCGACCGATGTACTAGCGAAATATATCGCCGCCGCTATACTGCAGTTATCGCCTGACTTTGCTTGTGAATTTTATTTTGTTAAGTGTAAATAATGTTTTGTATGATTGTGTGGTGTAATTATAATAAAATATTATAAAATAAATAAATACATGTGAGTCACCCACAAATATATCGTAACATATGGACCATCTATCACTAACAAAAAGCAAATTCTTATTTTTACCTGAAATCACTATGAAACATGTTGGCGATAAGTTGTTTATTGAGACCGGCGGTGCCCATTTGATCTTTGAGAAGCTCGAAGAACTCCTCTCGTGGTGTTGTGAAATTCCATTTCAATACTGCTCATAAAAATTATCAATTAATAACTTTTAATTATCAATTAATAACATAAATGTGCTATGCTATGTCTCGTGGAATGATTATCAAAATTAAACTACTCTTAAAATTTTTGCATTTGATATGTGAAATATCATTTTAATTTAATTTACTAAATTATATTTTTTTTTGTTTTTAGTTATTCCTAAAGGATTCGATAAATCATTATAACACGGATTTTCTTTAATACAGTTAATTAATGTTTTAAACTTTTTAAAGTATTCAATACCAATAACAAAATTCTGCATTAATAAAACACACATAATTTTATCAGAGTTAGGTAAGAAATAAACAAACCTTTTAGTTTCTGGTCGTCAATAATACGTTGATTCTTGGCATTGTTGTTTGGTAATAGCGGGGAACAATCCTCATCGTCTTTCTTACCGCGACTTGAAGCCGACGACGGTTTAACCACCTGGAGGAATTTCAGCTTCAGTGAACAGAGGTATCTCTTTAACATTGACTAAAATGCATCTACAATCAAAATTGAAGTCGTCATGACGTAAAGGATATGAAGTCCTGTGTACTCATAACTACTACTACTCTCCTTAGACGATTTCGATCACGGCGACCACTTCAAACTTCGTTTCTAATATATATATTTTAATTTATTGATGCACAAAACAAATTACAATCATTACAGTACATATTAGCTAAATCGTACAAGTACCTAGTACCTAGATCTAATCAGGATGGCAATCTAAATAGTATGTGCACTTAGCAAATCCATATTAATGTACATAGCTTTGGCTATGGAAAACACAATTGAAATTACAAATATTGATAACCAGCCATTGTTAAATAGGATATCCTTCACATATTTGACAAATGCCCTGAGTCTAGGTTCAAACATATCAAGGTTACTGTTACATTTAGCCAAATCATTTGATCTTATTCCTAAACGATCGTGCACATTGCGGACAGTGTTTGAATTCCACAGGTAATTTTTTAAGGGAAACAACTACTTACACGTGTTCACTCACACGTGAAAATAATAATTACACTAACCTTTCCTTTACCTACAGGGGCGCTTTTCTTTTCTGCTTCTTTCTTCATTGCCCCTCCGGTCTTAACTCCCTTGGTCTCCTCCTTCTTGGTTTTGGTTGGTAACGGTTGAATTGGCAAATTTGGACGAGCTTTGTCTAATGCTGCCAGAACTACTGTTTTGGAGCCGGGCTGTTGAAATAATTTATTTAAAAACTATTAATCTTGATCAATGTGATTTCAGTTTTCTTTATTTTCAGATTATGTCTCATATCTGTTTTTTTTATCTTAATCTTAAAATCTTTAAGTATGTTTAGAATATTCAGGGAAATAACAAAATAAATCAATTACTTTCATAAATGCAAAATTCATGATAAGTGAACAAAAGATAAGAAATAGAAAAACGCAATTGCAGTTGCATTACAACATAATTATATTGATTATTTATTTCCCAATAGTCTATTTGCAGCACCCCACTATCAGTAATTTAGAGATTAAAAAATTTACTCATGCGCTGGACCATTTTATCTAATTATCATTTTGTAGTTAGAAATTACAAAATCTGTATCTATACTAATATATAAATCTACAGTGGTTTTTACGGATATTCCGTTATAACTAATGAACCGTGCATTCGATTGACTTGAAACTTGTTATCCATGTAGAAAATACATGTACTTAATGGATAGGCTAATATTTATATGAATGTTGGACTCCCTAATAATAACGACAATAAATAATATGTTACTTTTAAATGCCCAGCGAAGCGGGCTAATACGGCTAGTATACTAGTAAAACTAAAGTCTAACCTTCAATTTTTCAAGCTGCTTGTGCATCGCTTCGTATCCCAAATGCAACATGAACGGGAAAACGCAGTCCCCTGCGGCCTTCCGCACGTCGGCCGCCCGGTCCTCTATACACGCGAATAGCGTCCCCACACACACTGAGAGCTCTTCTCTTGGAAATGATTTGGCAGGTACTAAAATAGAAACGATTTCATAATCAATACTGGTGGTAGGGTAGGATCTCTTGTAAGTCCGCACGGGTAGGTACCACCGCCCCGCCTATTTCCGCCCTGAAGCAGTAATGCATTTCGACTTGAAGGATGGGGCAGCCGTTGTAACTATATTTAGAACGTATATCTCAAGGTGGGTGGCGCATTTACGTTATATATTTGTAAATATCGGTCGGTAGGCAACGGCTTGGCTCTGCCTCTGGCATTGCTGAAGTCCATGGGCGACGGTAACCACTCACCATCAGGTGGGCCGTATGCTCGTCTTGCTCGTCTGCCTATAAGGGAAATAAAAATAAAAAAAAGAAATGTCTATGGGCTCCAGTAACCACTTAAAACCAGGTGAGCTGCGAACTCGTCCACCATCTAAGCATTAAAAAAAACTGATAATGATAGTATATTAAAATCTTCTGATACGAGAGGCTTCCAAGATCAATGGTCCTCACCATTAGGCAGGTGTTCAGCGAGCCACTGCAGCAGCGAGGCCCTGAGTACAGGCGAGCCCGCCTTCAGCGCGTCGAACAGCATCTCCCCGTCGAGCGGCGCGGCGGGCCCGGCCTCGCGGCACCACGCCTCCACGCACGACACGGCCGCCGCGCGGATCCACTGCTTGTTGTCGCCCAGGGCTGCAAGTTCAAAATCAACAATCACATACGTGGCGGGTAGCCATCACAGAACACAAGATGCCTGAATCTCGTTACGACATTTTCAAGATAAGCTCGCATATATACAAGTTCCAAACAACAACATTCTGACTCATCATACGAGACTACTTGTCGAACCGTTCGTTCGTTTCGATATCGAGTCGAGGGAACGCGTTCCCGCCCCCATCACGTCACAGCCGGAGTCCCGCAAGGCTCTGCCCTCTCCCCGTTACTATTTAGTTTGTATATCAATGATATACCCCGGTCTCCGGAGACCCATCTGGCGCTCTTCGCCGATGACACCGCCATCTACTACTCGTGTAGGAAGAAGGCGTTGCTGCATCGACGACTTCAGACCGCAGCTACCACCATGGGACAGTGGTTCCGGAAGTGGCGCATCGACATCATCCCCACGAAAAGCACAGCGGTGCTCTTCAAAAGGGGTCGCCCTCCGAACACCACGCTGAGCATCCCTCTCCCGACTAGGCGCGCCAACACCTCCGCCTCCGCCATTCGCCCAATCACGATGTTCGACCAGCCCATACCGTGGGCCCCGAAGGTCAAATATTTAGGCGTCACCCTCGACAGTAGGATGACATTCCGCCCTCACATCAAGACGGTACGCGACCGTGCCGCCTTCATTCTAGGACGTCTCTACCCGATGATATGTAGGCGAAGTAAACTGTCCCTTAGAAATAAGGTGACACTCTACAAAACTTGCATACGCCCCGTCATGACCTATGCAAGTGTAGTGTGCGCTCACGCGGCCCGCACTCACTTAAAATCCTTCCAAATTATTCAATCCCGTTTTTGCAGGATAGCCGTCGGAGCCCCGTGGTCCGTCAGGAACGTCGACCTCCATGACGACCTGGACTTAGAGTCCATCAGTAAGTATCTTCAGTAGGCGTCGATGCGCCACTTCGATAAAGCGGCACGACACGAGAACCCTCTCATCGTGGCCGCCGATAACTACATTCCCGATCCTGCGGACAGAATGGAAAGCAGTCGACGTCGCCCAAAACACGACATCTCGGATCCTCCCGATCCACTAACGGTGCTTTTAGGTACTTCAAGCACCGGTCACCGTCCACGTCGAACCCGCCGCTTGCGACGAAGGGCTCGACGAGCAAATTAACCCACAGACACAGCCCACTGAGTTTCTCGCCGGATCTTCTCAGTGAGTCGCGTTTCCGATCCGATGGTAAATTCTGCGAAGCACTGCTCTTGCTAGGGTCAGTGTTAGCAACACTCCGGTTCGAGCCCCATGAGCGCACCTACACACGTTAGGGCGAAGCTGAAATAGCCTCTCAAAGCTATCAGCATAGGTAAAAAAAAAAACATTCGGGCCGTCGGCCTACCGAGTAAATATCACCCGCTCGGTGGAAGATCTACCCTTTGTCGTTTAAGCCTCCCACACCATACATACATCTATCTAAACGTGCTTCGAATTTATGATCAGACGTATTCTTTAGTAATCAACGTTTTGAGGTTTTAAACGATAATTTTTATTTTTGTTATTTTATAATCTCAAGTACCCAAGACTTTTCAATCTCGTGGTCGAAATAAGCTTTCGTTCTATTGTCGCTATATATAATCTCGTGAGTTCTGACCTCCCTTGCATTAAACAACAGCACTGAGCACAGTCTCGTATGTGGCTAAGACATAAAAATACAGTACTGCGAAATCAAAAAATTAAAATGTATCTTGAAGATTACAAAATTGAAAAATCTGCTGAGACATAATTTATTTACAGCGATTTAATTCATGTTAATATTTCTTATACAAATTCTATATTCAAACTTGTTTTGAGGGTAAACGATAAATTTCTTAAAAAAATAAAATAGCAAATTCAAGAGATTTGATAGCCAATTCTTGTGGAAGTACTTTAAATTGGAATGAATGTAGCAAAATCTTATTTAAGTATTGTACTTAAATAAGATTTTACTACATTCTTCATTATAAGAATATAACATAACTTTATAAAACACGACATCAACAAGCTACTGTAAGCTACTGTAACTTCAAATTTATAAATTTATTGTAATAGAAGAAATCTGTGAAGAAAACAAAGAAATCAATTTACCTTGAAAGAATGCCGGGAAGAATGTCCTCACGTGCTGTTTGCACTTAGGGCCCATCGCTGTGGCCAGCGCCTCGCATATATTGAGAGCGGTCTGTGCTAGTTTGGAGTTGGAGTCCAGCAGGCGGGCGACCAGGGCCGGCGGCAACTCGCCCAGACTCGGTTTTATTGGCGATGAATTCGTTATTATCGCCTTCACTTTGTCTAAAGCTTCGTTACGAACCTGAGTGTTGAACATTCAAAATTAATACCAATGTTTTTATATTAAAACTTACAATGAAAATAAAAACAGACAGTATCCAATAAAAGTAGTCACCGAAGTCCCGATGACAACACATGTTACTGCCACTTCCAGTTATATTTTACTATATTTTTCTTTTGCATATGTTAAGATTTTTCTGTCCTCCATTTATTTAGTTTTACCATTTAACTTTTTAAATTAGTCTATTTGTTGAAGATTATTTTTAACATGCTCAGGAGTTATTTTATTAATACTTGTCAGAAGTATGTACTCATCATAATGTAATGTATCATCGGTTAGTGTTTAATTAAAAATACTTTATCATTAAGCGACACTTTGACATCGATGTCGTAGCCACGATCAAATAAATATGCCAGATGTCTTTTCCCTCAAAATACTTCTCAAATTAAAAAAATACTAAATTTTTTTATTAATCACCTTCCAGTTCTTATCATTCATTTCGGCCACAAGCGCCTCCGTGATGAGCGGCGCGATGTCCGTCCGCGGCCGCGAGTCCTCGGCGGGAGCCGGCTCGTCCTCAGTCGCGTCTTCGTATACTTCTTCTAGGTCCTCGCCCATCGACACTTTGCTGGCGGACTATTATTTGAAACAAAAAATATATCTATTAAAATGTTATAAATTTGAAAAAATATACCATATTAAATTAATCTCCTGATAATGCTAATAATTATATTTTCTACGGATACAATTATTTATTTGAACTTCTATCTTCATAAATGAATAGCTGTTCGTAAGTCTCGTTAAAATTCAAGAACGGCTGGACCGATTTCGCTACTTTTGGTCTTGAACTATTTATGGAAGTCCAGAGAAGGTTTAAAAGGAAGGTTTAAATAAATATGAAAATGCTCGGAATTAAATACAATTAACAATTTTGTTTTTCCTTTGATGTGTCCCCCGTCGGACGGATTTCTTTTGTTTGTTTTAAGTTTATTTTATACAAAAGTTTAGGTCTTTTATTTCTCGATTGAGGTACTAAGAAGTCTGCCGGGTCAGCTAGCGTTAAATATAAACCTAAAATGCATTCACAGCATTTTCAAGACGATTTATACTCGGAATAAACCTCATCACCGACAAAAACGTGGCCTGAACGACTTTGTCGTTATGTTAACTGTGAAGTCGTCGTGGCTTAAAGGATAAGACGTTCGGTGCATTCATGTTGAGCGATGCACCGGTGTTCGAATCCCGCGGGCGGGTACCAATTTTTCTAATAAAATACGTATTTAACAAATGTTCACGATTGACTTCCACAGTGAAGGAATAACATCGTTTAACAAAAATCAAACCCGCAAAATTATAATTAGCGTAATTACTGGTGGTAGAATATCTTGTAAGTGAGTGCGCACGGGTAGGTACCGCCTATTTTTGCCGTGAAGCAGTAATGCGTTTCGGTTTGAAGGATGGAGCAGCCGTTGTAACTATACCGAGACTTTAGAACTCATATCTCAAAGTGGGGGCTCCGGTAACCACTTAACACTAGATGGGCCGTGAGCTCATCCACCATTCTATGCAAAAAAAAAAACTTGGAGGAAAGATTGACGCTTGTAGTAGGAAAGAGTTATAAGTGTTTGCTAAGCTACCTTGGTGACACTGCCGACCTGCCTGGTGGGGGTCGGCGGCGTGCTGTTGGCGTACTTGTCGAGCTCCAGGCTGATGAGCTGCTTGGTGGCCGGCTTCTCGCTGTCGAAGTGTCCGATGAGCGCGGGGCCCACGTACAGCGACAACACTCCCAGGAAGTTCACTACCGAAGTGCGGACATTGGGGTTCGTGGCCGACAGAGCCTTCTTCGAGTGCGCAACTATCGACTTTATGTTCATACTGCGAAAACATTTAACATAATCTTATTTCAGTTATTTGAGTGTTAATTATTAAATTTTTTACTAGTTGACCCGGCAGACTTCGTAGTGCCTCAATAGATAAATAAAAGACGTGAACTTATGTATAAAATAAACTTAAAACAAACAAAAGGAATCCGTCCGACGGGAGACACATCAAAGGAAAAACAAANTGAACTCACTTGAATCCAAACTCTTTGATTGCATTAGACATCCAGTTGAATATTTCGGACTGAACTTTGGGATTCTTCTGAGAGTCCATAGCGAAAGTCAATCCTTCGTTTAAGACATGTTCGAGGCCGCACGACTCCGCCAGGGAGGTCAGACAATCGGCTGACAGAGCAGAGCAGGAACTCTCGCCCAATTTCGTGACTACATCTTGGAGAATGAAATCTGCGGCAGTTCTGTAAGTTGTTTGATGTTAATATTCTTTGTAGTCTTTGTGTAATTTAAAGTGCTTCACAAATTCACTTTGTTATTTATTATATTATAGTATTACATATTTGTATTTCAATTTGTTTATCAAATTTTATTAATATTCCAATCTATTATGGGAAAGTTAGCCTTATTTTATAATGGACAATTTCATTTACTGTATTCCTTACACTATAGTGGCAACACAATTTTTTTTATGTAAAAACCATTTTATTTACCCAATTACTTTACTTATTTAATAAATTCAACTTACGTGGAAATCGGAAAATTCTCTGTAATGTACTTGCATACTTCTAATCTTGCTTTGAGAACCTGTACATTCGTGTCTTTGAGACCTGGTTTTTTGTTCAATATTCGATACAGTACTTGGGCTGTGGCGTCGTTTGTAGATAGGCTTTGTACTGTAGAGTAATAAGACTGGACAGCTGACAGACGAGTCTTCCAATTGCCGTCTCCAAGACCTGATGGTTCGACACAATAATAATATAGAGCGATACAGATTTGCTGATACTGATAATAATTATTAATAGGAGTAATAATTATAGTTGTGTACCCTTTTTAGTGCTATGGTGGTTGGACAAGCTCACGGCTCGGCTGCTGTTAAGTGGTTACCGGTTATCTATGTGATATGCATCCTATGTCTCAGTTTTATAGTACAATTTTTTATAATATCATTTCCTCATCATTGTACTATGACCTTCATGTATCGAATCGAATTAAGGGTAGTGTAATCATTATTTAGCAAAACAAACAAACTTACCACTAATAACATCAGGGTTAAGTAGTTGTTCAGCGCGTGCGTCTATTTCTTCAGAAGACAGTTCTTGTTCCCTCGGAGGACTGATCTGACCTCGTCCTGCTACGGGCTTCTTTGTGGCAGCACTGCTCTTTTTTACGGCTGTATTAAGACAATCTCAATAATAATAAATAGATTGGTGGTCATACTTCAGTTACGTTATGAAAAACGAAAACTATAAATACTCCAATTGACTTTTGGAAATACAGCTGCTAACGACTACTGTTAACCATCTTGGTTCTGTAATGTAGATACAGAATACAGAATCCTGGTCTTTAAAACGTCACATTCAAATATTCTTCGGTTTTTGGGAGTCGTAAACATAATTGAATGAAGATGAGCATGAAGATGGTACGCCTTTGCAAGACTTAGAGGCAGTGACGAGGAGATGGCGCAACTACTGCGAGAATCTTTATAGAAACTCATATCAATGCAACTCACCACAAGATACAACAAATTGGTGCGAATTAACGCTAGAACCACCCAACCTTGAATCAGAGATCACGGCTGCTATAGACGCGCTTAAATACAGGAAAGCCCATGGTCCAGATCGTGTTACATCGGAAATAATAAAAGTCATGGGTCCTAAAGCCGTAAAATTCCTACACAGAATTTGCGACATCTGGCGAACTGGAAGATGGCCTTCAGACTGGACTAAGTCGATCATATTACCTCTTCACAAAAAGGTATCCACTTCTAAGTGCGATAATTATAGAACCCTTGCACTGATATCACATGCCAGCAAAGTGATGTTACATATCATCAATAACACGATTCGATACTATCTGAACTGGCAAATACCACAGGAACAGGCGGGTTTTGTAAAGGGCAAAGGAACCCGTGAGCAAATTCTAAATATTCGCCAATTGATCGAAAAGGCCTACGAGTTCAACACACCCACCATCTTTTGCTTTATCGACTACAGTAAAGCCTTTGACTGTGTTGTGTGGTCGGACCTATGGAAGGTACTTAGTGAACTGGGAGTACCTCTACACCTCGTTGCTCTCATCCGCTCTCTATACCTGGACAATCAAGGAATGGTAAAGGTCGAGAACTGCACATAGGAGCTTTTTGGTTTCGGTAAAGGGGTAAGACAGGGATGTATCCTGTCCCCTATTCTCTTTAACGCCTATGGAGAGTACATAATAAGGCGGGCATGTGAAGGTTGGGAAGCCAGAGTCACAATAGGTGGCACTAAAATAAGCAACCTCCGCTACGCAGATGACACCACACTTCTTGCTGCAAGTGAAGTCGAGATGGTGAACCTCCTTGCTCGGATCGAGAACATCAGTTTGCTGTTGGGTCTAAAAGTCAATCACAGCAAAACCAAAGTGATGATTGTGGATCGAACCAACAGCCTTGAACTAACGGGAACGCTAAACGTTGACATTGTGAGCGACTTCGTCTACCTAGGATCTAACATTAATAACACAGGATCATGCGAAAAAGAGATAAGGAGACGTATAGGAATGGCCAAAAATGCAATGTCCCAGCTGCATAAGATATGGAGAGACCGTAACAACACGCGAAAAACTAAAACCAAATTGGTGAGTTCGTTAGTTTTCTCCATATTCAGTTATGGCGCGGAGACCTGGACAATGAAGAAGGCCGACAGAGACCGAATAGACGCTTGTGAAATGTGGTGTTGGAGAAAAATGCTACAGATTCCATGGACCGCCTTTCGCACCAACGTGTCTATTCTGAGAGAGCTTCATATCAAAGCCAGACTTTCCACTATATGCCTTCGTAGGGTGCTGGAATTCTTCGGACATATTGCTCGTAAACTGGGTCACAATCGTGAACAGCTGATGGTGACAGAAAAGGTAGATGGCAAACGTCCTAGAGGACGCAATCCCACGAGATGTTCGGACCAAATACGATCTTCTCTAAGCATCAATTTCCACAATGCCCTTAATGAAGCAAAGGATCGTAGCAGATGGAATGAAATCGTACGGGAGAAACTGATGCAGCGGGGGAGTCTAGACCCTAAGTAATGAGGAAAACGACGCGAGGAGGAAACATAATTAAGACTAGTTTTTGTCATTATGTTGTTTCCGAAAATTTTCTTTATCTTTAAAGTATTCGAGATTAAGGCGTAAAAGTACTTATAATTATAAGACTAATTTAGAGATTTAATCTCGCATTTTTTATTTGTTATTTGTTTGTTGTTGTTTTATGCTGTTTCCGAAAATTTTCTTTATCTTTAAAGTATTCGAGATTAAGGCGTAAAAGTTCTTATAATTATGACTACTATTGTATGCTTATTGACATACTGTTTACTTTTAAGGATAATTTTAATTGTTTGGATAACTAGAAAGCGTCTCGGTTAACAAATGTTTGATTCATTTGAAACATTACAACAGTGAGTGATGCGTTCAAGTTATTACAGGGAGTACAAATAAAATATTAATTACTATTTGCAGTTTGAAACTTACCTGAGGCTGGTCGCTTAACAAGTTTGGGCTGGGAGGAACCAGCTGTCTTGGTGTCTTTTGCAACAGGAGCTGATTTTGGTTTAGCTTCTTTTGGCGCTGTTAGTTTTACTTGAATAACAGCCTACAATATAAATATATTAATTATATCATAAATGCATAATTTATATTCCACATAATAGAACAACGACAAATATAATTTTTCTGGACCCGACTTGTATTATTTCATATTTACCTTATCTGCAAATTCCTTGATCTTCTGTTCCTTCAGGTTGTCCAACTTTCCAATATGCGGTGCTATGTTCTTCTCGCCCACGAGTTTAGTGGCAGTGCCTAGAGCTTCTGCAGCCGCGTCTCTTACAGCTGGATCTATTTGTAATCGATTATATTTTTTATAATTAGTAGACCATTATCATAATATTCTGAGTAAGCATCATCAAACAAGTCTGGACAGGATGTCTACACATAGAGCTCCACTCATGTGTCCTTCGAGCACGATTTGACAGATTCATTCGCGAAGCAGCTGCTCTTGAGTTGTTAAGTCTCCTTTGGAGGCGCTCAGGCAGCTGTTAGCAAATACCCACCCTTCCGGGCTGAGCTTTTGCAACACCTTCGTCCACACATCCTGGTGAAACTGGAAGGCCTCAGGGCCACCAGTAACCCCTCATTCATAAAAAAAGTTAGAGCACAGTATCTATACACTGTTAGAAATCACTCATAAACTATCAAAGGGACAGTAAACTATAAAACTCACCAGCGCTCTCCAATAGTTTTAATAAGCCTGCCACATAGGCCTTTAAGAGTTTCTTATTAAAAGCGGCAGGCTGAGTGTGGCACAGCGCGCGGGCCAGGAATAGGGCGCTCTCGGCCTTTATAGACGGGTTCTTATTGTCAAACGCAGCTAGCATGTCTTCCATTATTACTTCCAGATTGGTCTGAAAAATTGTAAATTTTTGTATTGTTTGTTCATTCATTCAATAAGTAATAATATACTATCCATATTTATTACATTAAATTCTGTTAGAAGATCGAATTCACTACCAACTTGTATTGTTCCATCATTACATTTAATTTTGAGTAGTTAAAGTAATCATCGAGTGATTCTATCAAATGTTTTCTTCGATTTCCACAAGACATATACAAATTAAAACTACTTTTACGGTACACCACAAGGCCCGTAAAGTTATCGAAATAATAAAATGACCATGATATACGCAAGATTAAATCACAAAAGTGGTTTTAATCATGATTTGTAACATCTATACTAATATATAAATCTAGCGGTTTTAACGGATGTTCTGTTATAACTACTGAACCATGCATCCAATTGACTTGAAACTTGGTAGTCATGTAGAAAATACGTGTACTTAACGGATATGATAATATTTATACGAGTGTTGGACTTCTTACACCAGTTGCGGGGGCGTTAATGATGAGAATCTTTGTGGGGGTGAGAAATAATAATGTTAAGTAGTGGTCCCCGCAGTAGTCGAAATTCGACTATAATTAATTGAAATTATAAGTTTGAACATTCTTATTGGTTCTATTGTCAAAGATATTATACTACTATAATCACATATTTCACCAAGACTACACTTTACACTTATTATTAAAGACAAACAATATTCAATCTATTCTCAATTTTACCACAGACTTTAAAGAATAACAAAAGTTTCACAATTGACAATTTAGAAAGAGTATATTTATCACTGAAGTATGAAACCTATGGAAATGAATAAATAATGTACAGCCCAAAACAGACGGCTGAACTGACGTGACAATGACATTTGGTGCGCTAAGCATGGCAGATTTTTGGCCTCATTAGACATTTTCGTATACTCATGTTTCATTTTATGTACGCACTGAAATACTGTTATATTGTTTTCCTGCGAGTTACAGTGCTGAGTGAGTAAGAGATAGATATATGTTTGTGTGTGCCTTCAAAATGTGTGCTATTTGCAATTGTACGTACGTATAGAACAATATGTCGCGTCCCTACTTTAAAGGTCTATGATATTTATACATATGTGTTGTGTCAAATACACGTTAGTGTGTGTAATGTTTTCTTAATCCTAATGTATTGTTAAAGCATATGTTTTTAAAAATATTAGCATTCTGCACTTCTTCTCTATATTCTATATAAGTGTGGGAAATTTCATACTCGTCCGTCTAAGAAATTTTCGTAAAAAGGGACACAAAGTTTTTGCTTCACGTATTAATATATAGGTTTTAAATGCCCAGCGAAGCGGACGGGTACAGCTAGTAGTCTATATATTCAGATGAGTGCGGACTCACGGAAGGGTAGATGGCGTCGATGGCCTCCCGCAGCGCCGCGACAACGTTCGGCTTCTTCTCTTTAAACTTCTCGAGGATGGCCTGCACGCAGGGCGCGGCGTAGGGCTGGAAGCGGGCGCGCAGCCCCGCCGCCACGCCGCCCAGCAGCCGCCCTCCCAACGCCACTAGCATCACGTTCGCGTCTTTCGCGATCACCTGATGAGAGGACCTCTTATGAGTCCGCGCTAGTAGGTACCACCGCCTTACCTATTTCTGCCGTGAAGCAGTAATGCGTTTCGGTTTGAAGGGCGGGGAGCCGTTGTAACTATACTTGAGACCTTAGAACCTATATCTCAAGATGAGTGGTTTATTTACGTCGTAGATGTGTATGGGCTCCAGTAACCATTTAACACCGGGTGGGCTGTGAGCTTGTCCACCCATCTAAACAATAAAAAAATAAACAAGTGCTTAATGACGCAACAATGACATGCTACCGTTTAGATGGCCGACGTGGAGTACCAAGTATTGCAGTGAACACCAACATCTACGGACTAGCACTGCTACATTCACATTGATTAGGTAGCTATATTATTATTATATTTTTTTTGTTTGTTTCACCACTAAAGTCATGTTGAACGGTATCGAAAGTGGATTGAAGTTAAAATAAAAATAAAAAGAACCATAAAAATCCAAAAAAGAGGTCCAGGTGGCAAGACCCTGAGTGGGTGTGAATAAAAATTAAAAATGCTAGTGAAAATACAAAAAATACCAATATGGCAAACTTTCTGTCCCAGTGCGATATATATACCTTTTTGAGTGCTCTGACAAGATCAGCATAATCCCCAGGCTCCAACTTGGGAGCAGTTTTCAGCAATGCCTCTAGAGCATCAAGTGCTTCTTTTCTATCTTTCCATTTCTTGGCTTCCAATTTATCATAGAAGTCTTTAGGTAGTTTGGATAGAATCTCGACAGGATCCAATAGATCGAATGGATCCACATCTGTGCAGTCTCCACCTCCAGTATCTGCATCCTCGTCTTCGGCACCGCCTGACAAAAACATAATAATATACTGATGATAAATGATTTTTGGAACGAAGTTCCTTACGGCAGGCTTGGAGGGGATAGGGATTTTGCTGCGCGACCGAACTGAAAAAAATCTGATAGTAAAACCGTAAGAAAAAATCCGTGGAAAAAAGTGCGTGGATTAAAACCGTTAAATGAGACGTGCGCAGGCGCGACAGTCGCATACACAAGCGAGTAGTGTATAATACCTTTCTCTTTCTCCCTCTTTCTTTTACTTTTACATACTTTCCTGCACTTAAATAAAAACTAATCAGCAAAATTTAAGAGAAAAATCAAGAAAACCTACATAAAATTGAGCACGATTTTTTTTTTGCAAATTGTGTCGATTCTACATTTAGCCGAAGGAACTTCGTTCCTACCTGTTGTCCCACGACACCACATCTTTTTATTTTTTATTTAAATATTTACTAAAGCATCCTTAACATATGTTTAGGTACTTATATATTTGTACAAGTGCACGAACTTGTATAAACGGCGACTATAAAACAGTTAATAGCCTTGATAAGCACTTCAGAAACCATTGTTTGGTGAAAATGTTAAAGACGTTCTTGTTTGTAGCCTGTATTGCTAATGTGCTTCTGGCAGACTCTATTGAAGGTATTTAACTTGCATTATAAATTTCTTACGAAATTGTGTAACTAGAGAAAACTGAAAAAAAATATATTCATACAGCACAAATTTAGACATCGCAATCAATTTCTTTATTTTATTTAAAAAAAGTTGTTTAATATTTATATCCGAAATTTTTCATATTTATATTCAAAAAATCAGGCAGCGAGATTGCGTAACAAAAAAAAAGTACTCAACAGAAGAACACTAACGAAATTAAAGAAATAAATCACTAAAATAAAGTTTTGTGGTTTGTCTCAAGATGTTTCGTGATAAAACAAAAAAAAGTCCCTCCCAAAAAAACCTGTTTGCTTAGAAAAGACACTCTCTTAATTATTTTAGTAAAATATTTACGCTGCATAAAAATGAACTATGTCTATACCGATATAACAACAAATATTTCAAATTTATAAAATGTGAATAAAAATTGTCGTAAAGTTCTGGCGACTTTCGACGAATTTCAAATAATAGTTCACCTTTTATTTTATTTGGGAATAGTTTTTTTGACAGTGTTTTTTGATCCGCCCTATGCACCAATAAAATAAATTATTGATATTTAATTTCTACGTTATACATGTATGCTAAAAGACCTCAGTGATAAATAATAAGTCCCGATTAGTTTTCAATATAGACTGGGGTGCCGTTATTCTAGAACCACTGTCTCTCGCAACTAACCGGTAAAAATAATACCCAATACCGTAATTAATACCATTAGAGTTGATACGGGAATGATATAGGCACGACTTGTACTTTGCACGATTTGTGCCTCACCAAAGCAATATTACGGTTCAATCTGAAGACTACGACAACTATTATAATTACTTAGGTAATTTAGATTTGAATTTTATTTACTGAGCTAAGTATGTGGGACCGTTCGCATAGCAATTAAAATGGACATTAACGGCTTAATAATAGTTGAGTTATGAGTACATTTTTGTAGACTGAAAAAAATCGGTTAAATAAATTCTCTTAATCTTATTTTTTTTTTAAAAAGCAGTAAGTACCCTACTCACTCCGAGAATATATTTATGAAATGACTATACTCTAGGTCATTTGTAATAATGCCCAAAGCTTATAATTCCTTCCTTCAGGAGAATTTGGAATTATTGTCTATCTTAATACAATATGGACAGAACTGAAATCTTAAGGTTCTTTGTTTTAAAAATGCAGAAATATTTATTTATGAAACTTCACACACAAATACAAATTGCCCAGCTTAATGCCATCGGCATCCTCTACCAGCGAAGCAAGGATGATGCAGAACAAAAACCTAATAGATTCAAGGGATGATAAAATAAACTAAAACAATATAATATCCTTAATATCTGGTAAGCAGAGTGAGGGCCAGCTCCAACAGTATCCTGAGCATGATCGCAAGCAGGCTGGACTATATACATGGGTCGCTGTGGTGCCATCTCCCATGGGATGTTACCACAGTAATTCATTGTGATGTAAATATAACTACTAACATAGGTCTAAGTCTTATTAACAATTTATATGAGTCATGGTTACTTGAAATAAAAACATTATTATTATTATTATTATAATATCCTTTATAGAAACATGCGGAGGAGATCCTAACGCAAGAGCCGGTTGTGGGAGTAATTGTAACAGAAAATGCTCCGATATTGGTGCAAATGAAACAAAAGCTTGTACTTCAGCTTGCCGTGTCAACGCCTGTGATTGCAAAGATGGGTATTATCTCGATGAAAACACCGGAAAATGTGTGCTTCCTAACGAATGCCGTACGTAGATTTACATTGTCGTTACATCATCATCGCCTCGAATACTTTAAGAAGGAATAACGTGATACGTTACTATCATTTATATTGTCAACATATATAACAACGCTATCGTCATCACTGTTACTACAATTAATTACAACCATGTTCACAAAACATTGGGATACTATATTTTTTTATTCGAGACCCCTTTTGGAAATTTCATCCAATTAAAAAAAAACGGTGCGTGTGCCACTTGGTGCACGTGAATGAAGTGAAACTTCTTTTTCGATGTGTAGTAATGTGGTTTTCTTCATTTTTCATCCATAAATCAGATTGTTCTTATAATAGGGAATGCTGTGTATAATAGATGCGAAATCTTCAACATTAATATTTTAAATATGTTAAATTATAGTTAGAAAAATAAATATACATATTATGTACTATATATATTTTTTTAAATACTTCATTAAAATATTGAACGCTACTCGTTGGTAACGCTCGCGCTGGCCTATAACAGGTATACTACGCGCATGCGTTCGAGTGCTACGCATTCACTGTCGGTCTGTCTCTTTCTAGTACGGTAGCGTTAGAAGTCCCATTAGAAGCTTCACTTCAATAATAATAATAATCTTAACTTTCGACCAAGCCTTAATTCATTGTTTGTTTTTTAGCTTCAATATGCGGTCCCGATGAAGTGTATTCCGATTGTACAAACGGGGGTTGTAGTGCGAAAAACTGTACACAATTAGGCAGACCCGTACCTTGCGTTAAGATTAATCCTAAGAATTGCAAGAAAGGTTGCATTTGTAAAGAGGGATACTTACGCGACGAAAACGGCTTATGTGTTCCTGAACAATCTTGTCCTCGTGAGTATTTTTTTCAATTCTTAGTTTAAAATTTGGTTATTGTATTCAATACCTTGTTTGCTAACATTGAGCATTCAATGACACATGTATTTTGAAATACATATTATTATGTAATCATATTGAGGGGTGAAAGGCAACTTTTAAGCAACAATTCGCTTAATACGTGACATTTGTCTTTGTAATTAAAGGTCCGTTTTATTTGGTATTACTATCAACAATTAAATGTTTTTAATTGAACTTCAATTAAATTTAGCCCATTCAAATAGCCGAAGAAGTTTTTTTTTGTTATTGTGTTGTGTTGATGACATGTGTAGTAGTGTAGATGCATGTGACTAGGAGATGTATGGAAATGGTAGTGCAAGGTAGAGGGGGAAGAGGTCGACCGAAGAAGACATGGATGGAGTGTGTGAATGACGATATGAGAGAGAGAGGAGTGAGTGTTGAGATGACGACTGATAGAAGAGAATGGAAGAGAAAAATTTGCTGTGCCGACCCCACCTAGTGGCATAAGGTAGAGAAAAAGAAGATTGTGTTGTGTTGATATTTTTTCCACATAAAACTTTGAATGGCTCTCTTGTAAAGTTGCAAAAATGTCACTCAACACAAATGGCCTTTCATCCTTTGATATCCAATATTCATATTTATTTTGGTTCATATATATTCATAATATATTTGTAAGTTCAAATATGGTTAATGCAAATCAATAATTTGAAATTTCCTGTAAATTTGTTAGTATTTCAAAGAAGATGTCAACTATAGTAACGTAAGTATAAGCGATAAGAAGCCCCCAAGCTTTGTATGAATACAATTAGCCAAAAAGATTTGACTAGTGCATCCTACGGGCGATTGCAACAGTGTACAATTTTTTTGATTTATTGCGTTGATGGGTAGATGAGCTCACTGTTCACCTGGTATTAAGTGGTTACCGGAGCCCATAGACATCTACAACGTAAAAGCTACCACCACCCACCTTAAGATATGAGTTCTAAAGTCTCAGTATATTTACAACAGCTGCCCTACCCTTCAAACCGAAACGCATTACTGCTTCGCGGCAGAAATAGGGTGGTGATACCTACATATGCGGACTCACAAGAGGTCCTACCACTGGTAAAAAATAATATATGTTTACAGCATCATACTAACCGTCTGTGGCATCAGCGGTGGGGGCATCCCTTGTCTTGTGTTGTTGGGATCGCAGGTAGCGCGTGGGCTGCGCGCCGCCGCCGCCGCTGGTGAACGCCTCCCGCAGCTCCTGCTGCACCACCGCCTGCAGGGACGCGATGTGCGGCTCTATCGCGGGGCCTATCCATCTACGAGTAACATCGACGCGTCAATGGCTATTTGGTTTAAGCGACTATTTCGCAATAAATATCGTAACAAAAAAACTTCTTCAGCTATTTCAATGGAGTAAGCTTTATTGTAACTATAATTGGGCCGAGGGGGGTTTAGAACTTATCTCAAGATGGGTCGCACATTTACGTTGTAGATGTCCATCGGCTTCAGTAACCATTTAACACCAGGTGGGCTGTGAGCTTGTTAGCTCGTATAGTTACAATATAATATATTTGTTATATGGTTCGTTTTTTTTTGTATTACAAAATTAGTATTTAGCATAACATTAACTACAAAAATAAATGTCGCACATTAAGTGAAAATAGCGTTTCATCTCTCGGTAAGTTCTTGTTCACATGGCAGACTGTCGAGAATGAAGTATACAAAAGTATATTTTTAAAACGTTTCACTCATACCTGTGCATTTCCACAACTAAGGCTTTCATCTCGTCCCTGACAGTTTTATCTCGGTCAGCGAGTAGTACAGGTATTTTCTTGACCATAGGTTTGATGGCTATAACTTTATTGCCGAACTGTTTGAGGGCAGTATTCAAAGTTGCGACACAGGCTGCTACCACTTTAGGATTCTTCTGCTCCATGCCTTTCAATAATTCTTCTTCAACAATTTCGTGTTTCTCTATTTCTATATACATTAGGGTTATCTGCAAATATTTTGTTTTGTTTTAGTTAATGTTGGTATGATGTGAATATCAGTTGAATGTACACAATATTTAGATTAACAAAATACACTGGAAAAGTTATAAAGTATATTATTATAAAGTTAAAAAGTAGTTATTAAAAAGATATAAATTATGAAATGTTATAATATTATGCATCCAAAGAGTTTTAAAAATAAAAACTATTATTTTGAAAATCGAAATGCTTTCTCTAATAAAAATTATGATACCTGATTCTTCTAGTAAGTAAGTAAACTTAATCAATATTACATAATATGATGTATCTCTCACCTGTAAGGCCAAATCTTTAGTTTTAGTCTTGGGTGCGGAAAAGCACTTGGCAATAATCCCGGACATGACCTCTCCAGTGGTCTTACCAGCATGGCCGCAGTTTTCAACAAATACAAGCGTAGCTTCCAATCCTAAACAATAAACCGTTGAAACTAAATGTGTGTATGTAGTTTTGTGTGTGTATGTGTGTGTGTTTTCATTTAAATTAACGTATTATTTTCATATAATCACTACATAGTATAAAACAAAGTCGCTTTCTCTGTCCCTATGTATGCTTAAATATCTTTAAAACTACGTAACGGATTTTAATGCAGTTTTTTTAAATAGATAGAGTGATTGAAGAGGAAGATTTTTATGTATAATAACATCCATTAAATCCATTAATAATAAATTACAGTTTCCGAAGCGAAGCGAGGGCGGGTCGCTAGTAGTCTATAGAGCTTTTTTATGCCTCCAAACATAAATTAACCATTGATGTACCGAAAGAAGACAAAAACCTGATCATCAACATTCGTCGATTTTCGATATTTCAACACTTGAATTGGTTTTACAGGTTTTTGTGTGAACATAATTGGAGTCAAGGTACATAACACGCGACAGTGTTAATACTTTGAACACGTGTCATAGATACCGTACAATAAGCTTCGTGTGCTCGCTCGCCTGCATTGAAGCCTAACAATTGAGAATTTCGCAAATCGACTTACGAATTCGTTGATTCATTGATTTCATATTAATAATGACTGGATACAATCCAAACTGGGGTCTGCAGACTGATTTAGAATAGGTTGTGCTGTGAAACTATTTATCGGTTGTTCATAACCGACAAGTTGAAGACGGTTTGATGATTAGCTGTCTTGAACGGCACCACTCTCCATCTCTTGTCATGAGTGTCGTAAATGACGAATGAGGGAATAAACGGAGAATAGGCGACGGCATTTTTCGGGTGTTCTATTAGCATACTCATTATGAGGCTCGTTCTGGAGAACTAGGAGGGGGGTATTCGTGTAGGAGGCCACCGAATTAATAATCATCGTTTCGCTGATGATACCACTATAATCGGTACCTCGGAGCGAGAGCTGCATCAGCTTCTTAGGATAGTGGAAGTCGTTAGCAAAGATTACGGACTTTGCATCATCCGATCCAAAACGAATTAGATGTTTGTCGATAGAGCTGACACAATGACACGCACTCACGAACTGCGTGATCTGGACGTGGTGCAGGAATTTGTGTACTTGGGGTCATTAATATCAAGTGACGGTGATTGTGACAGGGAGGTGGTCAGGAGGGCCCAGATGTCAAAATCAGCCTTGAAGCGATTGGAGAAGATTTGGAGAAATCGCAGCATAAACTAAAAAACTAAGATAAAGCTCATAAGAACCCTTATCTTCTCCATATTCTTGTACGCTTCTGAGACGTGGACCCTCAAGGCCCGTACCCGGTCGAGAATTGACGCATTTGAAATGTGGTGTTGACACAAAATGTTGGGCGTATCATGGACGGAGCGAATGTTGGGCGTATCATGGACGGAGCGAATGTTGGGCGTATCATGGACGGAGCGCCGAACAAATGTGTCAATTGTCTCGGAGCTAAACGTCAAGACCCGTCTATTTACGATCTGTATTCAGCGTCTCCTCAAGTACTTCGGACACGTGGCCTGACAAAATCCTGAGAACTTGGAACAATTAATAGTTGTAGGTCACGTGGAAGGAAAGAGAAGTCGAGGAAGATTGCCAACCAGGTGGACGGACATTGTCAAGGAGGCCACAAACACCAGCGTCCCGGGCGTCATTAAGCAGGCCGAATGCAGGCAATATTGGAGGAAGCTGGTGCAAAAACTGGAGTAATGAGGAAACGACAAAGAAGAAGATGAAGAAGATTAGCATACTGCAGTTGCCTAGTGGGAATTATTAATTACCACCATCCTGTCTTTTCCCTGGCATAAAGTAAGCATTTGGTTCGAAAGATAGGACTGCAAAGAAAGATAGGACAACCAGCAGCATTCAAGATATGTTGTTTATGATCTGTGGTCAACATTTAATACGAAATATATGGTGAGTGTTGCCCATCACTAACATTGCCATGAACAACAATCAATTTTCAACTTCTATGCCTCAAACTTAATGAGAGTAATCTCTTTAGGTAAAGGGTATAAACAAAGCTGACAGTGAGCTAATCTGCCTCTAATAACACATAAAAAAAATCTGAAGTATGTATGTTTCTGTCAAAATTTTTGGATTCAGTGATGTAGACCCAACTATGTGACATCAGTATGAATACCATAAACTGTGGCCAAACAAACCAAGATTTACTGGTTAAATAGGAGTATTGATGAATCATAACCATATCCTATTGCTGCATTGAACAAGAAAATGTGATTCAAATTGAAGGTATTAAATAACTTTCAACAGTTTAATTGTATGTCCAGACAATGAAATTCTGAGTCATACTTGTATTATTTGAATGTATGAAGTCTCATATTAATCACTAAAAAGAGTTACACACTTGTATGCAAATCATTATTTTTCTTGCTCCATCGGTTTGTTGATTTATTAATTAAAGAATAATTTAAATTTTGAATAGTATAAATATATAGTATAATTATAATGTAACAATGAATCAGACTTTAGATCTCAGACTTATTTATGACCTGTAAAAAACTATTCCATATTCCCTATATCTTTTTTCTATATCTTAATAATTTCTCTTTCTTTATTTTTATTATTGCCTATGGCTGTAGTCTAGATTGCGGTTTGCCCAATGTTTAGTATCCAGGTGCTAATATTGGTTAATATTGGTTAAAGGCACAAATATGTCACTACCTTAAAATTCTATCTTGTCCTTATGGTTTGTTTGAATAAATATATCAGATAGAACACATCAGAACAGATAGCATCTGAGAAATACTAAACAAGAGTTTTTTAACTATAAATTATAACACTATAAATTATTTCATTATTAATTATATATAAATTATAATTAAGTTTCACAAATATTTTTTAATTTATATTTCACAGGGTAAATGTAGTTTTCAATATTATCTTATACATATATAACTTAGCCTTTATTGTGATCAGTAACAAAAACACATTCAATGATTTTAAGTAGAGTAAGTACATTTAAGTAATCATTTTTAAATTCTCAACAAAAGCTTTTAAAGGTAAATAGACATTAACAATTAAATACCTTTTTCCTGAGCGGCAGCATTGCTGTCAGTCACAAACTTCTTGATTAATCCCAAATACTTGTTCCATTCCGGTGACTTCTCATCGTCAATCTGATTGAAGAGTTTGATTGTCTCCTCATAGCCTGCCACTCTGGCCTTCCAGAGCTTGTGAACACATTTTTCTTCTGTTGGTAACTTCTTGTATTCATCTTCCATATTGTGAACAGTTTGTGTCATTTAGTAATTCTGTAGAAAATTTTAAATGAAATTTAGCTGGAAGAGAATTTTCGAATTGCAGAAACATGTTAGTAAATATTATTTGATATTTTAACAATTCAAATAATCATCAGTTGTAAAAATAGCTTATTCAATAATTTTATCTTCAATGGTATTGAACTAAATATTAAGTGCAATATGATCGAAGATCCATAGATGAGCCACATTAAAAATTCATCTTAGAGATAATTGTGTATTGTGAGCCAAATAAATACATAAATAATAAATAAACAATTATGTTGTTACATTATAGATCTACGAAATATAGTTTTATAGTTATCTAAGTTCATTTTACAATCAAATTACACATTTCATATCTTCTATGGTAGTTTTAATAAAGTGCACCAACAGTTTCATCCATATTATAAGTTGAAAAAAAAACCACACTTTTTAATTTACTGTTTAATGTGAATTTGCTTTATTGTTTGTTAATTTAGCTTTACTGTAAGTTTTAACATTTGTTTGATCAAGCTTTACTAAGCCTTTAAGGATGCAATATCCAGGACTCTATCAGATCAGTCAGTTTAGTTCACACAAGTTGGGCCCTTGGCCGTAGTCCTAACAGCAAAACACACAATTCAATGCAATAAAAATCAATAAGCCCAGAACCTAAAATCTCCAAGGAATGCAGCCTACTGCCACATACATATGATCAATTAACTTAAGTACACAGTGATCACTCCGAATATTTAAATAATACATAAAGTATAGCCATTAAAGGAACATATATGGCAAAACAATGTCAAGGTGGGGTTGATCAGGCTTTAGCAAAAATAAGACGTATACAACCATCTTAGGAAGTATGTAGTATAGAATAATTTTAAATGAAATGTAGTGCATTCAAAGAAAAAATACATTTGAGGTATTTAAATTTCGAAGTTTCATACACTATGTTTATCAGTTAAGTGCCAACTTTCTTCACGTGTACGCGTTTATTTTTGAGCACGGCAGAACATTAAATTTGCTTTCATAACGTTTCACTGCAAAACAATGGTGATTCACCAACAGCTGAATTTGAATCTACCTGGGCGATATTGCGGAACAAATCGTTAATTGCATGCCAGTTCATTTATAGCCGTCCCCGATTCATATCGAGACATGAAACTGGATCTATACCGGCCTCGGCCAGCAACAACGCGAATTACGAACGCTCAACAACGGTTACTTTCCACTTTACAAACAAATCCAATCAAATGTCACGATACGCACCTTAAAAATCGTTTTCTCTGGGTAGAGGCTTCACCAAATAAAACTATAATAACTGTTACAGTAGAAACAGTTTCTTCGTCACATTATCTTAAACGAAATATATTTTAACCGACAAACAAGTCTGTCTTTTTTTCTTTAGTCGTCGTTTTTTTTATGTTTGCGAAATGAAAATGGACGGAAATGTTGTATGGTGTTACCAGCAAACTGTACTTACTTTCTGCTATTACGGGGCACTGCATGTACTCAATTAATGTATATCAACACATTTTTCAGACATATAACTTCAGTATATAAGCTATGAAGAGAAATGAGTTGTCCACTACGAAATCGATGTAAAAATACTAGAAGGGAATTGGAAATTAAAAAAAACTTATTTTAGATGAAAAAAAAATGAAAAAGAGGACGCACGCGTTCTTCCGAAACTTTCCAAATCTTCCTAGCAATGTCTTTAATTTAAATATCACATGAATAATATCAGCTTAATATCAGTTTTACTTCTCAAGATCAGTTATTTTCAATAATATCCGACATCTTAACAGCCGCATCATAATAGCCATAGATTAAATTTCGCCGCATTGGTTTTGCAGCAGAATAAATTAAATATGTTTTATAAGAAGAAGGGTAACTGATGATGACTGAAAAAGAGAGCTAGTTTTACCAGCCAGTCGTTTTAACGCTTCCATAGTATAAAAGGGTCTCTTTGGTGCATACTTTGCTGTAGCACAGGTGTCGTTCTCATGGAGAATATCCATATTAATGATAATTTTTACGATGGGACTTGAAAATTTATGTCAAAAACTTGTACTATCTATAATGGAAATAAAAGTTTATCAATACCGGTGGCTATACTAAATTAATAAAAGGTGTAAAATGAAACTGTTCCCAAAATGGAAGTAATTATTTAGCTAAATAAAACAGAAAATAAAATAAACTAAATCGAGTAAGGTCGACATAAACAACTACGCTGTTGATCGACCTTATACTTGGCAGACCAAATAATATTTATTGATCTGGGAAAATTCATCCTGTTTAAATTCAATACAAAAAAAAACTGAGTATGAATACTTTGTCATTGTGAGTTCACATAAAATGAGCACGCAATAACGTGGAAAACTGTATTTCATTATTTATAAGTGTAAAACAGTAGTAAATTTAATATTTGATTATTATTTTTTAGTGCTATTGGGTTATAAATCATCAGCGTTCCTATCTATTTCTGTTTTTGGTACGACACGCTATTTTTAATATAAATGAATCAAATCAAATCTACCGTACGACTTATGGCCTACAGTAATACTTAGAACTCCGGCTTTAGAAAAAAGAAAACATAAAAAACGGAAATAATGATATTTTTATGAAACTGATTACAAGAACTCACTATGGACAAAATGCCCATAAGCCCTGCTTAAAGTTGTTTCAACTTCTATTTTGTATATAATTTAATTACTGGTATTATCGTTCAAATTACTGTAATGTCAATCATAGAGTTACTATTCTAGGTACTTATTAACTCCATGATGTCAATCAACTGTCCACATTTCATTCGTTCTAAAATAATATTTTGCTCATCATTCATTCATTCAGAAGTGATCGTCATCAACTTGAGTTAGTTCAGTTCAGTCAGTCTCGCACTTACAGTATCTTAATTTCAATATCATTCAGTTGATAGAAGAGAAACGGGCGAGACGTATGTCGCGTTTCCATCGCGGCTACCGTGCGTTCGTAATTCCCACTGTCGAAATCTTGTAATCCTGTTTATTGCTTGTGAAATCATTCTTTTACCTTATTGAAGTTTCAATATCGTTGATAGTTTGAAGTATAAACATCTGTGTAATACATATTTATTTGGTGTGCAAGGTGTTAGGGCAAGAATTTTGGTTAAAACCAAGTGAACTCAATAACTGCGTTTGCATAGTATGCTTCATATTGTGAGTATTTTATAGTACGTTTGCAGTATTATAAAGATAAGGAGAGTGTAAACCATTTAATGTCGTCCACATAAGTTTTTTTCTTGTAAGTATTTAAAATATGTCAGAAATCACCATTGGGTTCTTTGTTTAGCTGTCCGTTACTGTGAGCGTTTTGATGTTTTATTTACACGGTTAATCTTCATTCAAGTAATTTTGTGTAATAGTTATCTTTAAAAAATTGCAGCCTAAAATTATTTTTGTGTTTAATTTTATTAATTTAAAGCCGACATCATAATTAGTATTGTACCTACTTATAAACGCCTGTTGCTAGAGAATACTATCAACAAATTTCTCTTATATCTACCATATAATGATAATAAGCTGTTCTTCGTGTCTTCGTTTATACGCAGTCTATAAATTAATATGCGACATTGAGATTGACAGAAAAACAACGTTGCACGTCATGTGTAAACTGGACTGTATTTTATTATATTATCATGCATACTCCACAATCCAAATCCACACAATTGACCGAGAATTGTACTTGAATGCGGGAGGAGCACGGGAATAATGTTGCAATATTAAGTTACTTTCCGTCATTATGACTGCCACACCACAATTACTTTCCTACCTAGTTGCCTAGGAATATAGTTAAGTAGGTATGTAGTTATTGTAACGAACACGGGCCGTAAGAGCGTAAAGGATTTTGAAAGGTTTCGAATGTTCAGACAAATTAACTTGTTATGTTAAGTCGGCGAATCTATTTTTGAACGTATTTTTATTTATCACATCACGCAAAACTTGAATCTGAACTTGATCCGATCACGTGATGTTCTTCATAGATCCGCATCTTTTTCTCAATTTTCTAGAAGGCAAAAAAGACCCAACCGCATCATGAGATGCGAACTTGCATCCTAGGAATTTACGTTGGGCGAATGATAAGGAGACGAACTAGATACTCGGCTGCCAATTAGAACTTCGAAGATCAAGGTTTTAGTCTAGTGGAAATATTTTTTCTTTTTAATGATACCCACATATTGTTTCATTAAGTATATCCATTGTTACCAGTCAAGCGTTGCAGAACTGTAATATAACTAGGTACGAGGCGATTCTCGCATAATGAATGGAGCGGCTTGAATAATATTATATCGAATCACCAATACACCAAAAAAACATTTAGTTTGCAACCCGTAACAAGTAAGCACTATCTCGTGTGCTACATACACCGAAGAAAATGAGCTTCATAATTTTTCAATAATCGTGTCGTACTCAATAGACCCAAGCTAAAATTTACTCTGTGCTATAAAATAGTTAACTGCTGGCAACACACGCGACAAAAACATAACCACACTCGGAACTCCTAAGAAACCTTTTACTAAAGATATTGATTCCGATCGGGAACGGGCCCCGTAGTAAAGTAGCCAGGGTCACTGACACATAGATCAGCGAGGCGATGAAAACATACATTGAAATCATTCGATCATTGTTAATGCATAAATTCTAAATATTCAAATGTAGTTAACCTTGAAAGTTTTGATAATAAATAAAAATAGAAAAACTTTTGTCGATTAAATATGTTCGTTTTAATTTAGTGAATTGTTTATTTCAAGTTTATATGTGTTTTTGCACACAGAAAAAGATAGAAGGATAAAAATAAAATTAACATAAAAATGTAAAAAAATTATATGATATTCCAATTTTGTGCGCTTAATGTATTTATTATACCTACACGTTCTTATATAGTCGTCGTGGCCTAAAGGATAAGACGTCCGGTGCATTCGTATCGAGCGATGCACCGGTGTTCGAATCCCGCAGGCGGGTACCAATTTTTCTAATGAAATACGTACTTAACAAATTTTCACGATTGACTTACACGGTGAAGGAATAACATCGTGCAATAAAAATCAAACCGGCAAAATTATAATTTGCATAATTACTGGTGGTAGGACTTCTTGTGAGTCCGCACGGGTAGGTACCACCGCCCCGCCTATTTCTGCCGTGAAGCAGTAATGGATTTCAGTTTGAAGGGTGGGGCAGCCGTTGTGACTATACTGAGACCTTAGAACTATATCTCAAGGTCTGTGGCGCATTTACGTTGTAGATGTCTATTGGATCCAGTAACCACTTAACACTAGTTGGGCTGTGAGCTCGTCCACACACATAATCAATAGAAAAAAAATATCCTTCACCGTGGATGTCAATCGTGAACATATTTTGTTCAGAAAGTATGTGACATATTAAATTTTCTCTTGATTAACTTACGTCACTCTCCGATCCATAAACTTCTAGTCGATTTGTAGATCCATTGTACGTAAAGTTACGAAACAGACAGTACCTTTTTTTTTCGGGCCGGGGGCCGAACCTCCTAGGAGGTCCCCGCGCATAAGGGGTGCGCGGGGTATGTGAGACTCAACGATCTGCATGGTGTTGTGAGCAGACCGCGGGCCCAAGGATTTTAGGGCCCACCCACTAAACGACTCCCCTGCACTCTTACACCCGACGTCCGATCCCCTCCGAGGCCAGAACCCGGATGAGGTAGGGGAGTTACCGCGGTCAACAATACAGCCAGACGGCGCGGCTCACCCCAAGGACGCCCAGCCGACGGAGCCTTCGAGGCGAATCGAAGGCTCTGAAACGTCGGCCGTCTCGGTATGGCAGCCCGTCAGGCCGCCCAAACGGTGCCGCTGGTGTCCCGGAATACCCTGCTGGACCAGAACCAGCATGCCGGGTCGGGGCGCGATAAAGAGCGGAAAGAGCGACCGCCAACTGGTCGCTCTTTCGTAACTCCTTGGCAGCGCGCTACAGTGCTGGTAGCGCGCCGCGCGGCCTATATCCCCTCAGGTCGCCCCTTGACCTTCACCGGGGGGGGGGGGCGCTACCTACAGGGGCCGGGACGTACGGGCGTATTCCCGCCTCCGGCCCCCGGCTCGACGGCGACTGATCGGTGCAGAAAGGGAAGAGCTCTCCCTCTCTCGTTCCGCCGCCTCCTTCTGCGAAACGGTGGACTCGCAGAAGTCGAACATCGCCATCCAGGACTCGTCGCTGCTGAGCATCGTAGCCACGACGCGCGGTAGCGAGAGGTCCTCTCCTATGACCGCGACGAGGGCGGCGCGTTGCTCGTCGAATCCAGAGCAACGCGCCGATGTGTGTTCCGCTGTGTCTTCCTCGTCGCTGTCTGCGCAAAGGTGGCACTGCGCCGTCGGTTCCCTTCCGGCTATCTTGAAAAGGTACCGGCCAAAACACCCATGGCCGGTCAACATTTGTGTCAGCCGGAAGGTGACTGGGTGGGCCGCATCCGCGGTCGCGGCCCACCCAGTCCGCGAGAACCGGGCGGACCGCCTCGACGGTACGGAGGCCGGCCGACGGGTTCGCCAAACGACGAGACCATGCCAGCACGGACCGCCGAGATTGAAGCCTCTGCGCTTTCACTACACCTTCGCCAGGGCGCCCTTCCCCCCTAGAGCGGAGGTCGCTACGCCACCTGTAATCGGCAGCGAGCGCCTCCGCCTCCAGGTCCAAGGATGGCGCCCCGGCGAGCAAGCACGCCGCATCGAAGGAGACGGTGCGGTATCCTCGGATCGCCCTGACCGAGATCGCGCGCTGCGGACGTCGCAGCGCGGCGACGTTCTCGCGGGTCAGGGCGTGGCACCATACGGGAGCGCCGTATAGTGCCATCGACCGCACCACCCCCATGTATAGGCGGCGCGCCACCTCATCGGGACCCCCCACGTTGGAAGAAGTCGACTCAAAGAGCCGGCCGTCGCCATCAGCCGAGGGCCCAATTTTTTAAAGTGAGTGAGGAAGCTCCACCGACCATCCAGTTCGAGGCCGAGGTACCTTAGACCGGTCACCCCGTCCCCGACGCGAACGCCTCCGATCACGAGGTGAGACAGTAAGTACCTACACTTTCGTTTTTTAAAACCGTGACTTGTATTTTTGAGGTAATTCTCTCTAATCCATTAATAATTAATTTTTGCGTGATTAAGTCACTAATATCCCACAATTTTTGTCCATTTATCATTATAGTAGATCCTAGATATCTATATATTAATACGTAAAGCAAAAATAAGTATATAAAATATAACTTATGATGAATTGCATAAAAGAATAAAATGAAAATTAGTCTGTAATGTAACTACGTCATACATGCCTTTTTCTGTTTATTCCTTTTGATTAAGATAATGAATTCGTGAATTCGCAATGTAAATTATACAAAATATTTTCAAGTCATCGCAGCCACTGATAATTTGAAGGTCATTTCCATATTGTCGAGGAAAAAAAAACAGATAATTGCCGTGTCGTTCCTCATAATATGTTCAGTGTTTTTTGCAATTTGCTAGATTCGTTATTACGTTTTTACTTATCAACTCTGCGACAAGTTTGTCAAAACATTTCTTTGAAAAAAAAAAAAAAAACTTGTTTCAAGAGTAAAATCAATTTCCGCACCAAATATTATTTGTATTCGCCTTCGAACTGATAAAAGTGTTGACATAAATCCTATAATGCTATCAGATTCAAACGAAATAAAATACGTACATACACGTCGTGACAAACAACACTAAAGCTTTGTTCGGACTAGGCGAGTATTTTAGTCGAGTACCGAGTAATTTAGTTACTGGTGGTAGGACCACTTATGAGTCCGCACGGGTAGGTACCACCACCCTGCCTATTTCTGCCGTCAAGCAGTAATGCGTTTCGGTTTGAAGGGTGGGGCAGCCGTTGTAACTATACTTGAGACCTTAGAACTTATATCTCAAGGTGGGTGGCGCATTTACGTTGTAGATGTCTATGGGCTCCAGTAACCACTTAACACCTCGTGGGCTGTGAGCTCGTTCACTCATCTAAGCAATAAAAAAAAAAAAGTAGCTAAATGCGTCTGAGCACCAAAAATTTTGTCGAGTAGGCTAGTAAATAATTTAGTCAAGTCAGTCCATTTTGTTCTATTTTTTCGGGCGAGTAGCGAGTAGTTTAGCCACTAAATTACTCGGTACTCGACTAAAATACTCGCCTAGTCCGAA